GAACTCCATCTCGAGTCCATCTCGGACTCCATCTTGGACTCTATTGTCGGGTCTATCTCAGACTCCATCTCGGGTCCATCTTGGACTCCATCTCGGGTCCATCTCGGACTCTATCTCAGGTCCATCTTAGACTCCATCTCAGACTCCATCTTAGGTCCATCTCAGACTCCAACTCGAGTCCATCTTGGACTCCATCTCGGGTCCATCTCGAACTCCATCTCGAGTCCATCTCAGACTCCATCTCGGACTCCATCTCGGACTCCATCTCGGATTCCATTTTGGATTTCATCTCAGACTCCATCTCGGGTCTATCTTGTACTCCATCTTGGATCTATCTCGGATCCATCTTGGACTCCTTCTCGGACACTTCCACGTGTCATGTGTTGGTCCTTTTGGTCTTTTTTGGAGCCTCGCTTATTGCTCAATTTGTGCTCGTTCCTTGAGCCCTTGTTAGGTGTTCCACTCCCACTCTCGACCTTTCAAGTCGAAACTTTTATTCCAAACGTGTTACGCTCGTTTAGCTTTCACTTCAGCCACTACCATGTGGCACTCTTTCGGCTCCACTTTGGGGCCTAGGGATTTTGTGTCTCACACTTCCCTTTGACTAATGTTAACCATGTGGTCAAAGGTAGCACCTAACAGATGTGGCACTAGATTTTAAAAGTCAATGCTGAGACAAAAACAACTCTTTTGTTGCAGCCAATGGCTTGCCATAGATGACTCAAGGAGCATACTTGATGCCACTAGCCATGTTCTTTGGCTGGATTCGACAATTCACACCTTCTTTAATGCCATTATACGAACCATGCAAAATGGGCAAGCAACATCACTGCACATTCAACTCTTCCTTGAGTATTTGAATGACAAGTCCTCTCCTGCTGGTGCACTTGGACTTTGGTGGTCCATCAACTGATGACAAAAAGATATTTTATTTCATTCATCAATGATGCTATGAGGTATGTGGGTGTCAAGTTCTTAGCTACTAAGAACAAAGCTTTGCCATCATTTAAAGCTTATCAGCATGAAGTGGAGAACCAGCTTGATTTGCATATCAAAGTGCTCTACTCTGATGGAGGAGGTGAGTATATGTCCTTTAATTTTGCTGCTTACTGCAAGCAAGCAGGAATTCATTAGCAATTCACAATTCCATACACTCTAAGCTCAACAGGGTAGCTGAGCGATTCAACAAGACAATGGTGGAGCTAGCTAGGATGATGATAGCCGATGCTGGTCTTCCTCTTATGTTTTGGGATCATGCTATACAGCTGTCGTCATGCGTAATAGGGTGCTGACAACAACTAATCAAGGCAAGGTACCTTGTACCAGATGATGTCCATGCATGGATATCTTAAGACAGTTTGGCTGTGTAGCTTTTTCTCATGTTCCTAATGAGCTCCATAGGAAGTTAAATCTAGGAAGGCTATAGTGACTAGCAGTGGGGATATCAACTCCTTCATCTAGACCCATGCAAAGCCACACTTTAATCCTACCGTCAAGATGATCCAGCAGTTCCTTCAACATGTTTTCTTTATGGAGAAAGCAATGGGAGATCGAGCCTATGTTCTTTAGTCCATGGGAAGAGGATGATGATGATCCTCTTCCTTGACTTGGCTGTGCCTATGCTCCACCTATAGTAGGAGCTTCGACCTTTGCTGTGACATGAGCTTCTGAGCCTGAAAAAGGTGGTATCCTGGATTCCTGATAGTTTTGTTCTTGCGTCTAATCCTGACCAGGTTCCTAAGCGCAACATTTTTGAGCCTGAGCATATGGTTCCTGAACCTATGCATACTCATGATCAAGATATTGTCCAAGTTTTGAGCCGCTCTGGATGCCCTTTGACATATACAAAAGCTTTTATTAGCAAGAGCAAGCTGAGAGGTGAACAAGAGCAGCTGCCATAGCCTCTTATCATCTCAGCTAGAAGACCATGTTTACAGCCGTGGAAGTGTAGATTTTTTGTATGCTTGTACAAGCTAAGAACTTTCCTTATGCTACTGCATAGGATCAAGCTGTAGCTGATGAGATGCAAGCTCATAAGAAAAATGAGACTTGGTACATTCCTGAATTTGTTCTTGACATGCTATTATCATTTTGACAAAGCTTCTATTTTGCACGAAAGCTGGACTGTCAGGAAAACTGCAACACTTCAAAGCCAGGCTTGTGGTGAGAGGCTTCACTCAGATTGACGGCATTGACGGCATTGACTCCAATGCCGTCAATCTGTATTGGAGGCTAAAACCTTCAGCCTAGTCATGAAGATGGCCTTTATCAGACTGTTACTTGCTTTGGCAGCATAGCATGATCTTTATGTGGAGTAGATGGATGTGAACATGGAGAAATTCCTGAAGAGGTTTTTATATCCAGATCCTGACAAGCCTTGATTCAAGCAAGAGGATTTACAGGCTGAAAAAGGCTCTCTATGACCTATCTATATGAAGTTGGAGGATGGTGCCTTGGTCATTTTTCTGGATGATAGGATCTTTGTTTCCAACAATAAAGCACTCCAGCAACCTTGATCAAGAGTTACGACACTCTCAGGCTAAGCTTATGTGGAAGAAGTACTGAGCAGGTTTGGGATTGAGAACCTCAATCCTTTTGTTACTCCAATGGAAGCATGTCTCCTTCCAGCAAGGATAAAAAGCATTGTGCCCTATCACCAGGTCATTGGATGCTTGATCTATACCTGCCCAGACATTGCCCAGAATGGCCACATTGGTAGGCCTTAAAATGGATCTTATTCATTTTGGCCTGGTTTATAAGTGAAGTTTTTATTTTGTGAGGCTTTAGGGCTCTTTTTTTATCAAGCTGTGTAGTATTCAAAGAAAAACAATGTTTTTTGTATCTAATGCACTAAAAAGATCAAGCAAATCTACTGCAAGACAAACATGAAATAACTCTTTAAATTCCACAGCTGAAAGGAAAAGAGAGAAATAACACCATAAAAAGCACATGCCAGGTTCACCATATGTTAGGGGAATGATGGGACATGAGCTGACACTCAAATATGTGGCAATCAAGAATCAGATTGCTGATTTATTTATGAAGGCTCTAACACCTATTGTTTTCTGCAAACATTGAGAAACACTGAACATCAAAAAGCATTTGAATTGACCTGTGGATCAACGAGTACACTGCCTTGACATCCCAGGTGAGAGCAACAATGAGTACCTAGGATACAGAGTGCACCAAAAAAAAAGAAATGCCACTTCTTCCAATCCAGAAAGCACAAAAAAAACTCTTTACACACTGTCGTCTTGGAGACATCCTGAGGATGCAAACAAATTTGCGAGCAGTATGTAGGTAGCGCAGTCTCCTGGGTTGAGCTCCAGAGCGTACTCTGCCACTCGAGCTGCTCGTTCGGTGTCCTGCTGGAGCTTGCAGTTCCCCAGCAATGCACTCCACGCCGTGGCCTTTTCAAGAGGTGGCACTGGCATGTTATGGACAAACTCCTCAGCTCGATCTAGCTGCCCGCTCCTCCCTAGCATGTCTGCGATGCAGTTGAAGTGATCTTTGCTTAGAGCAACGTCAAAATCACTCGCCATGGACACAAGTAATGCGTGGCAAGTGTCGTGCAACATCCCGACGTAGCTGCACGCCACCATGACACTCTTAAACGATGCCTCGTCAGGCATCACGCCGCAGAGAAGCATCTCGTGGTAAAGCTCCAAGGCCTCGAAGCCGTGCCCACTCTGGGCATAAGCTTGGATCATTGCATTCCATGAAACGACATTCCTCTTTGAAAGAGATTCAAACATCTCACATGCTTTTTCCATGCATCCTTGACCTGCGTAAGTGGCCAACATGGTCGTCCAGCCAAATGCCTCATGCAGGGGCATAGAGGTGAATACCACGGCAGCACCATGCAAATGACCATTCAGAACATTTGCTGCTATCAGTGCGTTCCAGGCAACGACGTCGCGGCATGGCATCGAGTTAAAAGTTTCCACGGCGCGGTCGAGATAGCCTCCCTGACCATGCACATCGATCATGGAGGTCCACGTTACAATGCTACGCTCCGGCATGGAAAGAAAGAGCTCCGTAGCGTGATCCAGGTGCCCGTTTTGGTACATCGCTCGAAACAAAGTGTTCCAGGAGATGACGTCCCAGGCGGGCATCTTGTGGAAGGCCAAGTGTGCCAAAGTTAGCAGTCCAAGATTGCCATGGAGTAGAATTATAGAGTTCCAAGCACCAATGTTGCGCTCGGGCATCCTGTCAAAGCAACACTTTGCCTGCATTTGATGCCCATACTGGGCAAAAGCTGCCAGCATAGCGTTCCATGACATGAGATTGTGCTCGGGCATTGTACAAAAAATTCGAGCTGCCTCCAATACCCTGCCTTGCTGCGCGCAAGCATAGAAAAGAATGTTCCACGTAGTAATGCCCCATAGAGGCATCTTGTCAAACACGTACTTCGCGTCGTCCGGATGCCCATTCTGGGTAGTCGCTTGGATGATGGCATTCCAGGACACCTCGTTGCGAGTTGGCATCGAATGGAAGTAGAATAGAGCGGCATCAATGTCACCAAGTTGGGCACAGCCGTTAACGAGAGAGCTCAAACAGACAACGCTCCAAGAGGGAGTTCGCTCCAGGAGTAGCCGAGCCTCTTGCAATTGCCCGTGGCTGGCATATACGGTGGTAATATTGTTCCAGGACACAGCGTCTCTGAGCGGCATGGCGTGGAACACTTTCCATGCCGACTGGATCTGGCCGTTGCAAATGTGTGCGTGGAGGAGGATGTTCCAGGAGAAGAGATTTGGCCGCGGCAGTGCGGCAAATACGGCAGCGGCGTCGCCCAGGCAGCCGCATTGCGCATAAGCGTGGACGAGGAGATTGAGCAGAAAGGCACTGCGGCTGTGGCGATCGCTGGCGGTTATCGTGCGATGAACGATCCTGGTACGAGCAACATCCTTGTGGGCAGCACACGACTGGAGAAGCTTTGCGAGCTCGTTCTTCTCGGCATTGAGACGCCTCTGCCGCCATCTCATACATATAATGCCTATCTACAGCTACAAATGAGAAAATTCCACTGCCAGTAAGTGCTCACGCCCAGCCTTGAGCACTAACAAAAGTGTGTCCACGGTAGAATGAGTTTGTCATCACAGCCACAAGCCACGCAAGCATTGTCTCCCTCATTTTTTAGAACACGATCAAGCGACCTATTTAATTTCAAAGCTAATGTCAGGCTCTCGAGCATATTGAGTTGGTGTTTGTAGATAGGCACCACAAAATTTAAAACAAGTGATACATAAATACAATTTGTCTGAGTCCGACACGCGTCTAATTTGTGCCGGTTGGAAATACACCACACTTTTGCCAGCCTTGATTAAACAAGAGTTTATCTATAATTAATTTCTTGGCTTAATGAATGATAATCCTGCCAACCTCGTGTTTGTTGTGCTGGAAAAGGCTACACGCAATGGTGGTGGGTCGAACACTACAGGAAAAGGTCGACACTAAGGTCTACACTAGGTCTGTGGACATGTTAGGTAAATAGAAACAAACACAGCTCTTGTAAGTTGTAGATATATTAGAGAAAGCACGTTTGCATTTCACAAGAATGGAAGCTAATAGCGTAAGACAAATTTTCGAGCAAGGAAACCTCGATTAATCGAGTGTATGCTCAAGCACGGCCACAGCCGATGGAGTGACCATGCCGGTATATAAACATCATATGACTCTTCATGTGATGGATCTCCTACAGGTCTTAAGCGATGCGGGAAGAGCTGCAGACTGCGATGGATCAACTATCTGAGGCCGGAGTTCAACCACACTGAAATGGCTTCTTACAAACAGCAGCAATGGCAGCAGAAACTGTCCAGTTTCGCAGAGCAAGCAGCACGAGGATCAAGAATCCAGAAATCATCAATTAATGTCTGGGTTTCAAGGCTACGAATACTTTCGATCTCTAGAGCTTTTCCTTTGTTATCCAGCGGGAAAAGAGGAACACATGAGCAGTGGGATGCTCCAGATCGCAACGAGTCGTGCAGCACGGGCCGGCACATCGTTCCTGGAGGGAAGACGACTTGTTCTGGGCAGGATTTGGCTCGACTTGAAGGCAGTAAAACCGTTCTCACCATGTATAAACACCGTATAATTTGGTGTGTGATAAGAATCGCATTTTCTAAGCTCGCATGCGCATCACGTTGCTGACGAATGATCCCTTTGACTGCTAGAACTGCACAACAAGAAATTCACCGCTAGTGGAGCTGGTTGCAGAAGCGCCAGGCAGATTGAGCACAAGCACGACAATCGCCATGCCCGCCAGAGACGGTGTTGATGGTGTATGCACAAGAAAACATCATCTCGCCGAAGAGATATTTCTCGCCATGCCCTGTCATGACATTGTCTCTGCTTGCAGCATATGCGTAACGTGAGCATCATAGACGCACTGCAGCGCGTGTTGATTCTTCCACTGGACAATGTTTGATTCCACTACAACTCTATCACGCAGAGGCTGAGGAACTGGAGAACGTGACTAAGAGTGTTTTATCGCTTGCCGTCCGGAGCACTGCGTGTTTTCAAAAACGGTGCCCAAGCCGGGATGTGAACGATCTTCAACTCGACGACAAAAGTGTCGTGTCTTGGACCGCCGCCTACACGCGGGGCGCTTGTCCCAGCAGGGCGAGGCCAAGAGGCTGTTGCATGCCGAGCGGCAGGAACATCGTGTCGTGGGGCGCGGCGCTGGCGGCCCACTGTCACGGGCACAAAATGCCCGAGTCGAGGGCGATCCTCATCACCACGCAGTCCGACGCGGGACTGCAGGAGGAGGCGACTCAGCATCCGCGACTTGGTGCTATGGAACTCCAGACGACAGACGAGATGACACAGTGGGTGGGACACGACTGCCCGAGGCTTCGCTCTGGTATCCACTGAACATGGCCTCCAGCAACTTGGCAGGTGCATGCTTGTAGCTGGAGGAGGAGTTCTTCTTTCTCGTTGTCAAGAAAGTTGAACGGTCAGCTTCTTGTTCTCAAACCAAGCTGAAGCCAGTCTCTCGCAAAATCCGCAGTTAAATCCTGCCATTTGCCACAACATAGAAATGAAAAACCCCACTCCACTCGAGTCCAACGGACTTCCTGGACAAGGCGTCCTAGGCAGTGTGAACTTCGGCCAGTATTTCGTTGTTCCTGGCATTACAATCCAGTTGTGACGCTGATCCTTCTCCACTTACATCAAGGCGATATATGTAAACTGTGTGTCGGGCTCCTGAAACAACTAGTGGCCTGGTGTGATTCACAACATTTTAACATGTTAACCGAGAAGGAACATAACAGATGGGTCTTTCCCCCCTGGTGTGTTTACCTCTATGCCCTTGATGTTGGAATCCATAGACAATTTCCAGGCACCCTGGAAATCCAGGCAACCATGTCACGGCATGGCATCAACCATGGTGCTGTGAGATATATAGCCTCGCTGACCATGCACGTTGATCATGGATGCCTCTCTAAACAAGATAGGGGCCAAATTTAACAATCCGTGAGTAGAATGAGTTCCACGCCATGCCGTTCAGCAGGCACTTGCAAGAGGCTCGGCTACTCATGGAGCGCACTCCCTGTTGTCTCCGGCTGCTCTAGTTGCGCTCGGGCATCTTGTCAAAGCAACACTTCGCCTCCGATTGATGCCCATACTCGGAATAAGCTGCCGGCATAGCGTTCCACGACATGAGGTTGTGCTCGGGCATTGTACGAGAGTCGAACTGCTTCCAGTACCATGCCTTGATGCGCGTAAGCATAAAAAAGAATGTTCCACGTTCAATGCTCCGGGCACCTTGCCAAACACGTACTTCACATTCTCTGGATGCCCATTCTGGGCAGTCGCTTGCATTCCAGAACACCTCGTTGTGAGTTCGCAGTAGAATAGAGCAGCATCCACCATGCCGATCTATTGCAAATGAGCAACATCTTTCTGGGCGCCACACGACTGGAGAAGATTTGCGCAGCATTGAGACGCCTCTGCCGCCATCTCATACACAAAAGGCCTTGCATCTACACGAAGTTCTCATCACACATTGACAGAAGTGTGTCCACCCTGCCCCCGGGATGGCTGGATCTCCGAAAAACAAGGAATGGGTCGCGTCGAAACCGAAGAGGAATCTAGCCAAGTGTGGCCCAACGAGCATGAGGCAGAGTTTGCCATCGCAGCGACAAGTGTCTCTCTCATTCTCTAGGACAATGTACAACAGGCACGATCAAAGCTGCCCTCGCTACCTATTTTATTTGCGAGCATTTGTCAAGTCTTGGAGAGAGGGTGATACTTCTAATTGTGACGGTTGGTAGCTAGCTAGCTTTTGTCTCTATAATTATGGCTAGGCTTAATTAATGATAGTCGTCGAGTTTGTTGTGTTAAACGGCTATACACAATGGTGGCACAAAACACAATTCTTTTAGAAGACAGGCAAATGGAAGTTAATAGCAGCGGTAAGAAAAATCCACGAGCAAGGAAACCTCTGATGCTACGGCGTGGGCTGTGGTCGCCAGATGAAGACGACCGATTGATCGAGTGCGTGCTCAAGCACGGCCACAGCCGATGGAGTGACGTTCCAAAGCATGCCGGTATATACACATCTCTGACATGAGAAGTGGTTTCATAGAGACAAATGATCTGTGGTGATGATCGTGAGCACAGGTCTCAAGCGATGCGGGAAGAGCTGCAGGCTGCGATGGCTCAACTATCTGAGACCGGAGCTCAACCACAGCGATTTCTCGCCCCAGGAGGAGAAGTTCATTGCGGAAATGCATGCAATTGTGGGAAACAGGTGGGGTTTCTCTTCCAATGTTTCTACGAACCAGTGAAACTTTTGCCGTATAACTAGCAGATGGTCCCAGATTGCTGCAAAGCTCCCCGGTCGCACAGATAACCAGATCAAGAACTACTGGAACTCGAGCATCAGAAAGAAGTTCAAGGCGCTTGGGATTGATCCCGTGACAGTCTCTCAGACCCAGCAGTCTATAGACACAACTTCCTCAGGCTCTACAAGTGAATTCGAAGCTCCAAGTGCCGCTACTGCCAGATCCACTGAAGTCGCCTCTTGCAGCAGCTGCAGCAGCAGCAGAAATTTTCCAGCTTCGCAGAGCCAGCAGCACGAGGATCAAGAACCCAGAAGTCATGGTCTGGAGGCCACGAACATCCTCGACCCTTTCGATTTCGCACAAATTTTCGAGGATTCCAGCAGCGGGATGCTCCAGAGCAGCGAGTCGTGCAGATCTTTCCTGGAGGAAGACTACTTATTCTGGGGAGGATTCTGCTCAACTTGAAGGCAAGAAAAACCATTATCTCCATGCACAAACTCCTTTTTCTAAGCTCGCATGCGCATCACATGATCAATGATCATTTCAGCACCTACAATGCTAAAAGTTCACTGCTAGAACTACAAAACAATTGAAAGATTTATCGCCATATACACCGGTCATCATGTCATGCGAGTGGAGCTGGTTGCAGGAGCTTGCTCTGCGCCAGCAGCTTGCGAACAAGACGGCAATCTCATCCCCGCCAACACCCTGCTCGCTAATCATCTCGTCCAGATGGTCCAGATCTATGTATGCCAGTAGCAGCCTGACTCTACAATGCCACGCAGACGCTGATTCATGAAGTCCATATCCAGCAGCCCGTGTCTTCGTGGGCGATCCTCCTCATCACTCATTCGACGCGGGACTGCAGGAGAAGGCAACTCGCCATCCCAGCATCCGCGACTCCAGAAACGGGCAGTAATGGTCGCGAGTAGCTGAGCCGCCAGAGAGAAGATCATCCCCGGCACAGGCGCGCGCGCGCTCCGAGGACGACAAACGGATGGCACGATCCGAAGCTTAGATCGTCACTGTCCTGCTTTGCCTGCGAGAATGGGATCTTGTAGGTCCTCTGTATCTTCCTGGGTACCGTCGGTGCCTCGGTCCACGGAGCAGCTATTCCCGGGTTCTTCGTCTCGGGCATGTAGGCCTCGGTGAAGATGTTTCCTATGTGGAGATCTAGCGAAAATCACCACCAGGTTCTTGTACCTCCTAAAGTCGTGGATGTAGAGCCGCCTCGAAGCCCAGCAGGTGGGCGGCGCGGCAGGCACCATGGTTGATATGGGTTGTTCGCTTTGGTTGATAGGGAATTCTAATACACCCAGCTATACAAACTGAACTCCCAGCAGTGACGAGCAGCAACTTGGCAAGTGTCTTGATCAGCTGAAGAGGAGGAGGAAAGCTCAGGAACATTGCTCTTCTTTCTCGTTGTTCCAGCTCTCTCTCCCCGCAACATATAGATTACAAACAACCAAGCGCGCAAGATTATCGAACGAGTTTTTGGCAGACTCCACCATGGCGTGCAGCAGCCCGACGTAGCTCCACGCCGGCCTCGAAGCTTCGCCCGTTTTGGGTATAAGCTTGGATCATAGCATTCGATGAAACAACGTTCCACTTCGGAAAATCTCGCGTGCTTTTTCCATGGATCCAAATTATTGTCCAACCCAAAGCCTCATGTAAGGGTGTAGAGGTAAATACCACAGTGGCACTATGTACATGACCATTTAGAACATTCGCTGCTATCATATCCCTCAAGGCTCTGATACCATGAAAAGATATGCAGAAGCAATGATGGATGGAGATGACTCAAGGATAACTCGAATGGCCAAATATACATATGTAATTTCACGCACCGAGTTAAAAGTTTCCATGGCACGGTCGAGACCTCACCATGCACTATCATGGAGGTCCAAGTTACCGTGCTACACTCCAGCATGAAAAGAAAGAGTGATCCAGGTGCCCGTTTTGGTAGCTCGAAACAAACTGTTCCAGGAGATAACGTCCTCGCTCTTCAAAACAACACTTCGCCGATTGATGCCCATTTGGGGCATAAGCTGCTAGCTTAGAGTTCCTCGACATTGGGCAACCTTCGTTATTCTGCATTGCTCCGCGTAACAATAAAAAGAATGTTGCAATGCTCCAAAGAGGCATCTTGTCACACACGTACGTCGCATCGTCTAGATGTTGTTCCAGGACACATCGTCTCTGAGCAGCATGGGATCCAGGATAAGAGATTCAGCGGCGTCGCCCAAGCAGCCGATCCTGTGTGAGCAACATCTTTGTGGGCACCACACGACTGGAGAAGATTTGCGAGCTCGTCCTTCCCGAGACTTCAAATAAGGAGGATTTGGAGGCCCCCACTGCCAAGATTCGAGGCTGGCTTGGCCGCAATCCCTCCAGTGAGTGCTCCTCGTCTCTCACGGCCAGCCTTGAGCGTTGACAAAGTCTCGCCCCGTAACGTAACGCGAAGAAACAAGGAATGGGTCGCCCAGTTGGCTGAGTTGTAGCCAAGGGAAAGCAACGAGCGAGCGAGGCGAGCGTGAGACACGTCCTGGTCAGCAATGTAGAACGAGCTCGCCATCGCAGCCACAGGCAACGCCAGCTCTTTTAGAAGCTTGCTTGGTGTCCCTTGTCCACCTTTCCCTTGAATTCCCGTCTATAATGTCTCTCTCATTCTCTAGGACAACAACAGGCACGATCAAATTTTATTTGCGGGCATTTGTCGAGTCTCGGAGGGCGATGCTATGCCGACGCGCTTTTATTGGAAATCACACCAAATCCTCGAATCATCGTGTTTCATGCTTACAGTCTTGATTAAACAAGAGCCTTGGCATTTTGCCTCAACTTGGTCCACCGCCGGCTTAATTATTACAGCGCTCAAGAAATGATAATCGCGCCAACCTCGGAGACTAGCTTTCATCTAGGCTCGTAGCTGCACACTGCCAATGGTGGCGGGTCCAACAATACAAAGATTTTCCAAGGGAAAGAGAAGTAAAAGCACGTCTCGCAGTTACAAATGGTAGTTAAATCGAAACAAAAAAACGATACAGTTCTTTGAGAATTGTGTTATATAGTCACTGGAGAAGAGAAGGTTATGGGCGAAGAGGAATATTTTCCTTCTCCACAGTGCTGTCCAGGAACTCAAAGGTCCCAAGTTTGGATCTTGCAGGACAATGGAAGTTAATAGCAGTGGTAAGACAAATCTTCGAGCAAGGAGACCTTTGATGGCACGCCGTGGGCTGTGGTCGCCAGAGGAAGACGAGCGATTGATGGAGTGCCTGCTCAAGCACGGCCACAGCCGATGGAGTGACATTCCAAAGCATGCGGGTATATAAACATCATGTGACTCTCATGAAATCTCGTACATGTGATGATCCTGACAGGTCTCAAGCGATGCGGGAAGAGCTGCAGGCTGCGATGGATCAATTATCTGAGGCCGGAGCTCAACCATAGCGATTTCTCGGCCCAGGAGGAGAAGTTCATTGTGGAAATGCATGCAATTGTGGGAAACAGGTGGGAGTTTTCACTTCATGAGCATGTTTCCAGTGTTTGCTACGAACCCTGAAACTTTTCCCATACAACGAGCAGATGGTCCCAGATTGCTGCAAAGCTCCCCGGTCGCACAGACAACCAGATCAAGAACTACTGGAACTCGACCATCAAAAAGAAGTTCAAGGCGCTTGGGATTGATCCCGTGACACACGCTAGATCAACCTCTATGCACACAACCTCCTCAGGGTTTATTAGAAGTGAATTCGAAGCTCCTGCCGCGACTGCTGCTACTCCCAGATCCATGTCTTGGGCACTCACAAACAGCAGCAACAGCGGCGGCAGCAGTACTAGCAGCAGCAGCAGCAGAAATTCTCCAGTTTCGCAGAGCCAGCAGCACGAGGAGCCCAGGAGTCATCAATGTCTGGTGGGTTTCGAGGCTGGTTCTGTTGCTGCCGCTCCAACCATCCTCGACCCCTTCGATCTCGCACACATTTTCGAGGAGCCCAGCAGCGAAATGCTCCAGAGCAGCGAGTCGCGGGGCGGATCTTTCCTGGAGGAAGACGACTTGTTCTGGACAGGATTCGGCTCGACTTGAAGGCAGGAAAATCATTCTTCTTTGAGTGAAATCCGTATATTCCACGTGTAAACTATCGCCACTGAAAAAATATGCCAGAGTGTATAGAGATACAAAATCGCATTTTCTAAGCTCGCATGCGCATCACGTTGCTGACCAATGATCCCTCGAGCAACTACAGTGCTACAAGTTGACTACTAGAAGAACTAGACAAGAAGAAAGCATTAACGCTTTTGAGATTGATCACCACGCTTTGTACAATCTATTGATCGAAAGATTTCTCACCATATAGAACAACCATGTCATGCGAGTGGAGCTGGTTGCCATCGCAGGTGAGCTGCGCCAGTGCAGGAGCTTGCTCCGCGCCAGGCAGCTCGAGCACAAGCACGAGAATCTCGTTGCCTCCAACACCTTGATCGCCAATCATCTCGTCCAGATGTATGCGCGCTGCGGCAGCCTGGACGACGCTTGCCGCGTCTTCCAGCACATTCAGCAGCCAGATGCCTTCTCCTGGAACATCCTCGTGCAGGCGCACGCCACCTCTGCCCGCCTCCACGACGCGGCTGCGATCTTCTTCTCCGTCATGCCCGCCAGAGACGTGGTGTCGTGGACGACCATGGTGAGGATGTATGCACAGGACAGGCAACAACGTCTGGCGCAGGAGATCTTTCTCGCCATGCCATGTCACAACCTCGTCTCGTGGAACACCTTGCTTGCAGGCTATGCCCAACAAGGGCATATAGAAGTAGCGCAGCGGGTGTTTGATGCGGCGCCTTGCAAAGATGAGATTTCGTGGACGACTATGTTACAATGCTACGCAGACGCTGAGGAACTGGAAAACGCGCTAGGAGTGTTCCATCGCTTGCCTGAGCACTGCGTATTTTCAAAGACGGTCGTCATGTGTGCGTATGCCCAAGCCGGGCATGTGTGTGAAGCTCGAACGATCTTCGATTCCATGGAGGGCGATGACAAAAACGTCGTGTCTTGGACCGCAATGATGTCCGCCTACGCGCGGGGCGATTGTCCCAGCACCTGGGGCGAGGCCAAGAGGCTGTTCGATCGCATGCCGAGCGGCAGGAACATCGTGTCGTGGGGCGCGGTGCTGGCGGCGCACAGTCACGGCGGGGACGTTGATACCGCGCGGCACATCCACGGCAAAATGCCCGAGTGGGACGCCGTGTCGTGGGCGATCCTCCTCACCGCCCAGTCCGACGCGGGACTGCTGGAAGAGGCGAGTGCCGGCTTCCACGCCATGCCCAGCATCCGCGACGTGGTGCTATGGAACGCGCTGCTCCAGGCGCAGGCCAAGAACGGGCAGCTGCTCGAGGACGACAAGCGCATTTTCCACAAAATGCCGCAGTGGGATCCCGTGTCGTGGAACACCATCATCGGGGCGATGGCGGCGAAGGGTTCGATCGAAGAGGCGCAGTGGCTGCACGAGTGCTTGTCTCACAAGACGGTTGTGTCGTGGAACGCCATGATCGCCGCGCTGGGAGCTAGCGGGATCATCGAGGAGGTGGAGGCGATGTTCCAGCGGATGCCGGAGCGAAGCCTCGGGTCGTGGAGCGCGCTTGTTGCCTCGCTGGCGGGGAATGGCTACTGTGTCGAGGCGAAGCAGGCACTGGAGGAGATGCCCGTGTGCACGGCCGCTGCGGTAGCGGCGGTGATTGGGTGCTATGCGGTATTGGGGGACGTGGCGGAGGCGAAACGGGTGTTTGAGCGGCTGCCAGAAGATGTTGCGGTGATGAATGCCATGGTTTCAGCGTATGCCGTAAACGGGCATGTAGAGCTGGCCAAGGAGTTGTTTGATCGATTTCCAGAGAAAAGCGTGCGTTCATGGAACAGCATTATAGAAGCATATGCACAGTCTGGGCAGATGGTAGAGGCGAAAACATTGTTTGATTCTATGCCGGAAAGAAACAACCTCTCGTGGAATGCTGCTCTTGCAGCTTATGCGGCAAACGGGCAACTTGAGGAGGCAGTCTCTACCTTTGGGAGGATGTCTCACTGCAACACTTGCTCGTGGAACTGCATGGTGGCTGCCTTTGCACACAAGGGGCGACTCGAGGATGCAAAGATTCTCTTTAACAACACTCCACAGCACAATCTGGCGTCGTGGAACAACATAATCGGTGCGTATGCCGCCAAAGGGCATGGGCACGAGGCACTCGACCTGTTCCAGGAAATGGTGCTGGCCGGCTTCACCCCAGACTGCATCACCTTCATGCATGTCCTGGGAGCGTGCAGTCACGTCGGGATGTTGCGGCGGAGCTGTGAGCTGTTTGCATGGATGAGCAGCGAGCACTACCGCAGCCCCACCCGGCAACACTACTACAGAATGATTGACATCGTGGCGAGGGCGGGAGAAGTAGCGGAGGCGGAACGGCTGGTTCATGGCCTGCCGTTTTCGCCGGATCCTGTGGCATGGTCGACGGTGCTGGCCGCGTGCAGAACTCACGGGGACGTTGAGTGCGGAGCCCGAGCAGCGCAGCAGCTGGGTTGCATGGGAGTTGCAGTGAGCACGCGTGGTGAGGAAGCAGAGTCACATCATAGGCAATGGCATCGCGGCAGACAAGACGAGAGCTGCAGCAATCACTACGTGCTCCTGTCCAACATGTTTGTGGCGGTTGGCCGGCGAGAGGACGCTGCGTGCTTGAGACGAAGCATGCAAGACAAAGGGCTCCGGAAACCACCTGGCGTGAGCATTGTCGAGCCACATTTCTAGTTTCTATCTACGGTTTCTGTGGCCAAACTTACAGCAAGGAACACGAGCGAGTATCGGCAGAGCTCCTCACACTCCTCTTGACGAAACCACACCTCGGTGATGCTTCCGGAATGGGATCCCACCTGGTTCTTTTACCTCCAGGAAGCACGCATTGCGAGCCACTGTGCATCCATCATCTCAAACGCTACGCAGTACAAGAAGTCAAAAGCTTGCTCGTCTTAGCCAGATTCTTGTGCGCTCTCAGAACATACCGGCCAAGATCTAAAGTCGTCGGTGTAGAGCGGCCTCGAAGCTCGCAGTGGACCATGGATAACTTTTCTTTTCGTTTTGCACCCAGAGCTGACACAAAATGATACAAACTTAACCTCGTAGCAAGCACGGCATGCTCGTTGTTCGGCTTCAAGAGGAGCAATTTTCTTTCTTCTAACCTTGCTAAATCGTCTTCATCTTCCACAATTCTTTCGATGGCTTGGAGCTAGCTTTTCTCGCGGCCGGGAAGACGAACCAGGCCACCAACACGATCGCCGCGAGTCTCATTGTTCCAGCCCTGCTCCAACGAGAGAACGATGCTATCCCATTCCATAGAGTTTAAGCAGCTAGGCTGGCACCGAGTGCAAGATTATCGAAGCTGAACTAGTTAATGGCCTAGTGTCAATCTGATCAGCGTTAGTAGCGTGAAGCAAGCGTTCGATCTAGCTCGAACAATAGGGCCGCATTTTTGGATCACTCACAAGTTTGGCAAGCAGTATGAAAGAGGAGATTACCGCTTCGGCGGCGTGTTCAAGCAAGGCTACTTGTGAACAGCCGGGATATGGAATTCGAAGAGATCACCGCAACATTCCGTTTTGACTCCAGTTTCATGAAATAACAAAATTGTTTGGTCTGGGCACGGTCAGTTGAAAAGGAAAGATCTTTCGAGTCACCCGTTTGACCTTGATGATCCATGACTTCCTTTAAATGTCGCCTCAAGGTATATCTTTCGGTTTGTCCAACATCCTGGAGAAAGAATCACGGGAAGATTGAGCGCCGTGGTAGCACAGACGGCCCCTTGGGTCGGGAAGAGCACAGTTGAATGTGTGGTGTTTCAAGCACCGAGTCCACAGTTGCTTTGTGGCTTGGTGTAGCAGCAAGCCGCGCTTTCTTCACGAATTTACGCTTTTGTTGGAACCCAGAAAAGTGTGATAGCCTCCGAGCTCTCTCCACGTCCATCTGGGCCTTCGTAACGTCACTCCCGCTCCTCACAACCTCCTCCGAGAATGCCAATGGCACTGCTGCTAGCGGCATTTCTTCCACTGCGTTTGGCTCGGGGCTATCGTATCCAAGAAACTCCATCCGCGTGTAAATGTCGTCGACAACGCGAGGGACCTTCTCGTAGCTGCAAACACAAAGTAAACACACAAAGTAAACAGGACTGCCAACCAAAAGGGAATGTAAACTCGTCACCTTGAGCGCACGACTCGGTCAGCAAACTTGACAAGGGGCGCCTCCTCCGTGAAGATATCACCACCAAGGCTGAATTGGATGTCATACAGAAGCTCACAGACTTGCTCCGTGAACTCGGCCTCCATGCCCGGTGCTTGGCCAGCGGCTAGCATTTCAAGCCGAAGCTGGATCTGAAGCGTGTATCTGGAGGGCAATCCAAGTCAGAGAGAAAACATGAAGCGAGAAAACATACTCGTTGAGTTTGTGATCCATCGAATGGCTGCTGCCGCCTTCCGTATATTTGAAGGACAACTCCTTGGGAGCCAGGAGGAGCAAGTTGTGGATCGTTTCTGGAGGAGCACGACACGCCTGGACAGCGGCAGCCGTGTCCCTCACGAGCTTCCCTGCGTCGAAGTTGCCGGCACTGATGCAACCTTCAAGCCTTTCGGCTAGAGAAGAGGTATACGACTCTGCCATGTCCTGCGAGACGTCCATTGCTGGATCATTATCATCTTGTTCTTGATGCTTGCAATCACCTGGTCCCGTGTCGGGTGCAGCAACGACTTGTCCAGACGTGCTCTCTTGCCACCGTTGTCTCTTCCAAGCTTTGAAAACTCCCGGGTACATGGACTCTTTGAATACCGGGTCCATCCAGTCCATACTTGCATTCTGGAGCAGCAACTTCATACACCAGCTCCACGCCTCGTTCCAGCTACCTGAGAGCAGCCGTGTGCATGGCTGCTTTGCGTCGTCCGAGGCATTCGAAACTCTCGCGCTGGTGAGAGCGTCTTGTCCTGTGACTATACGTAACGTGGCCGACGAGATGGACAGTGGCTCCAGAAATCCTTTCAGCTGTCTCGTCGTCCCACCCTGCGTAACCTCCATATCCACGAGAGCAACAGCAACTTGACGTGCCAGGAAGAGCAGGATCAAGCTGAGCTCATGGTGCTGCCGGCAGACGAGCTCCTCGGGCAAGTGCTCAAGCCTTTGTAGCAACTCGCGTCTCGCGCTTCCAGTAAGCTCCTTGCCGATCCCGCTCCTTTGCCGATGCTGGTACACGACGTATGTCTCGACTACTCTGTGCTGCTGCGCCGAGGCCACAGTTCGATCGCTGCGTGGAAGCACGGCAGTGAGAGCAAGACGAATCTTGGAACACCCGTGCTCGTCCAAACTTGTGCTCTCACCCAGTGATGTGATGCCAACGTCACATACAAACCGGTGCTTGTCCGAGATGCGCACACGGAGCTTGGCTGGAGGAGTAAGATGGCGCTGGGTGGTGCGTGGGAAAACTAGCGGCAACAAAAGCACTGGAAGGAGGAGACGGTGTGGCATGACGAGGGTGGCGACGAGGAAGGTGTCCACGGACGAGAAACCCCAGGAAGAGGAGGAGGAGCTCTTGACAGCTTGGAGCAAATCCATCAAGGTGGCGGCTTCTCCCGGCGGCTGGAACCAAAGAGCGTGTACGTTCTTCTTTTCCAAGAGCTTGTGGAGAGAAGCGATTCTTCGCTCTTCTTCGGGAAGCCCGGCCGTGTCCGAGGACGAGGAGAGGAATGCATGGAGCTCTTGCCGGGATGGCGCCGTGGACAGCACTAGCAACAAGCTCGGGCGGGTGATGGGTAGCAGCATCGACTTCCCGCGATCACCATTGTCGTCGAGGAGCAGCGGATCCCACGAGTAAGCAGTGAGAAGCGGCAGTAACGCATTCGCGATGTGGAATGCCCAGGCATGGCGAGGAGCAGCAGCAGCGTGATCTTCCTGAGCATCTCCCACTAGTAGCTTGTCCACGCAATCCCGGAATGCCCTGATGCTACGCTCGTTTCTCGCCGACGCGAACGGCGCCGTCCCAGCTCTCCCCAGCACACTCGTCGACGCCCCAGACGCGAGCGAATCCAAGAAGGTGAATGCCCACATTGTGTTGCTGCTGCTTACCATGGCCAAGATCCTGCGCACCAAGCTCTCCAAGGCACAGCCATAGCTGCGCGCTTGCCCGATCAAATGCCGCACGTCCACCGCCACCACCACTCGCTCCACCTCCATTCTGCCCTAGCATACTCCACCAAGGAGCAAGCAACCCTACTCCCATTCCTCATCTTGATCTAGCTAGCTAGCTATGGCTGACCAAGGAAGCTTACTAGACGGGCGGGAAGAGCGAGTAGCGGCGGAGCTCCTTCCTCTGCTCACACTCCCTCTTAACGAGGCCACAGCGGCACATATGATCGAGCTGGTCCTCTGTGAAGACGCCAATGTGATCCACCAGCGGCGGGTACTTGGATGCCTCGAGCGCCTTGCGCTTGTCGAGCACGGCCTGGGCTAGCGGCGCCCAGTATGCGCGCTTCCTGTGTGGCGACTGCGTGACGATCCAGCGGAGATAGGAATTGGGCACCGATTCCAGCTCCCGCTTCTTGTACCGCCCAAAATCGAGGATGTAGAGTGGGCCGCTGCTGGCCACGAAGATGAGCTTCTTGTGTCGATAGCCCGCTGGAAGGAGCCTGCGAGGGAGAATGCTGGATTCCCACGCCCGCGCAAGCGACAGTGCCATAGCCATAAACCCTAGATCCTTCGAATCTTTCTAGCACAAAAGTCAGTGATTAAAGGTGGTAGTTAACTTTTGCTTGTATAGACAGGGCGAGATCATCGACGGCAGGTCTCCTCGCTCTCTTCTCTCTCCAGTTGCAAAACAAAAGAGGACTAGAGCTAATTTACAAATACCTTCGGGAGCGTGATCGCGAACGAACGAACGAACGAGCAGCTGGAGCATGAGTGAGCACGAGGGAAAGCGAGCAATGGTGAGGAAAACCAAAAGTGTTGCTGCTGCTGCTGCTGCCGTCTTTGCCGAGTTAGCAAGTCTTTGCTGGTGTTCTCAGTGGAGCTTCGATCCAGGAGGAGTTGAGGTTGGTTCTACTCTTTTCGCACTCGAGTTGCACAAAATGTGTTCTCAGGCTTGTTTCCTCTATCTATTCCATGCCACAAGCAAAGAAGTTAGCACGTCGCATACAACAACCACAAGCCACGCACCTCTAATGCAGCTAGTCTATCCAGTAAGGCACCGCACTCTTCAAGTGTAGCCTTTTCCTGTTTGGCCACCTCCGCAAGCCCCGAGATAAGACCGTCCATCTTCTCAGTCTGTGACAGCGAATAAAGTTAAAAGACAAGGAAACAGGGAGCATGCATACCTTAGGCATGAGATTCACAACAGCCGACCCCAAGGATCCCATGACATCCACCGTACAGCATAAAGCGTCCCTAATAGCTTGGACGTCGGCCTGCACATCGTCAACAATCTCGTCGCATCAGGAAAAGAAGGAGAAAAAGGAAAGAATTCATTACCCTTGCACCGGCAGTCACAGGTACCCTCAGTACTGCAGCCTCTAGAGCTTCCATCGCCCCAGACAATGCAGCCGAATGCTCGGCGTGAAGTGCCGCCCAGCTCTCTAGGTGAGGGCCCTTGGGTGGTATACACATGTCAGCCTCAACGTACATGACAACAGCATAATGCGTTTCACCTGAGACGAGAGAATCGCCTGGAGTTTTCTCGCTTGTCTCGCTTGTTGCAGCTTGATCCGTTTCATGGCTACAGACTTTCGAAGCTCCGACGTTTGCAGCCACGCGTTGTAGATGGACCTCTGCCAAATGTTATAGAATGGAATCAGTCACCAGGAAAAGAAAAAGAGTTAGAGACGTTCACCTCTGCTATGGCCCTCTGAGCATTTTTTGCAGCCTCCGCTCGAGCGTTGACAAAGCACCACTGAAGCCAGCGGTTGTGCAGTATACGCAGATACTGAGCTTCTTCCTGTTGGCTCATAGCTTTCTTTCCTTTGCGCATGTCCATGGGAAAATGTAGCAAGCTGGAAATGCTGCTAGCTCTGCTGCTGTGCCCGCTTGGTGGAAGCTGAAACGATGGAATCCTCGTCCTGGTGGGACTCGGAATACTTCGAAATGGGGAGGATACCAGCATCCGGGACGGGGACGGTGGCTGCTGCGCCGACAGACGGGAGGGTGACATCGCCGTAGACTGCGAGGCAGTCGAAACCGACAGACTCTTCAACCGGCGAACATTCTTCCCTCCCAACGTAGAAAAATCTTGGTCCGTCAGCGAGCAGCCAACTATGTCACCCTGAGAGAGACGCCTCGACCTGGCTGTAGTGCGCTTCACAGACCCGGAAGAAGTGACGGTGGTGGCACCGGAGCCCGACGAAGATAGGCTCTCGCAGTCCGAGAGGTTATCCAGCGATGGTTGGCTCTCCAAACTTGCCAGTTCCGTTTCATCAGGAAGCTGTCGAACAGACTCGTCAACCTGCTGCTGATGTTGGGCCATGTCTCGGCCTCCGCCATTTTCAAGGTCCCGTTTGGGCCTTCCCCTGCTCTCCGAGAGCATATGCCGAGATACACTTTGTGGCGAGTCAGGCAACGGGCCATCGTTGATCGACCTTGTCAAACTGCGTATTGGAGGTGTACGCTTTACCGGCCGAGTGGTACCATTCATGGCTCGTCCCTGCACCACTAGACCTGTCGTCTTCCCACTTTTATCTTTGTCGGAGCTAAGATCTACGCTCCGGCTCAGTGCTTTCGGAGAGTTTCCAGCAGACCACCTGTGCACACCGGAGTTGTCTTGAGGCCGTGCATTCTCAGCCTGATCCGTTGTTGGCCGCCGAACAGGAGTTCTCTTCCTCTCTGGTGTCCCCTTCCTGTCAGACGGGGCCTTGTCCGAAGATAAGCTCCTGCGGATGCCATTCTCGGCGGGCCTCAGAGTATGATCCAGCTGCAAGGATGCGGATAGAGCGTGGGTGGAGGGCCACAAGCGCTGAGCCGAGCGCAACGCATCTGCATTCCCCGGCCCAGAAGAAACTCTCGGCACCGTTCTCGGAGTACCTGGCCTGCCACTACTGCCGCTAGTGGTTGACGAAGACGAGGCTGGCGAGTCGGGCCTCTTGCGCTCCGCCGACACTGCTCGCTTGGGGCCTTCCGGGCCATTGGAGCTGCGACCGATGAGAGGAGAAGGAAAGCGGCGAGCTGGAGTGGTGGGAGGCGGGGTGGGAATGGAGGTCGGTGTGGTGGACTTGTACCTGGAGGTGATTTCCCTGCTGCGGTGTTGCTTGCGTAGGATCTCCCCATTGCCACTAGAGCCTTTGTCTGCCAGAGCTGGGATGGAATCCCCTCTTTGTTGTGGCACTCCTCCTGTGGCTGTGGCTGTGGCTGTGGCTGGTGATGACGAAGACAAAGCAGCGACCATGATCAACCAGTGCTGCTATCGCCGAGCTTCCGCTTCCTCATCTGCCCCTGGCCTGCCCTAAATTAGGGCATGCGGACACGCGACCGGGATTCTCCTCCTCCCCGCGCTCTACATTCTTTCTCCAATCTCTCCCCCACTGCTAAGATCCGCGGAGCTGCCAATTAAAGACGATCAACGGGGAAGATCTGAGGCCCGGAAAGAGGGAAAGCCTACCTGCATTGCGAGGGAGGCCGCAAGAAATGGCTCATTCGCCATGCGCAATGGCACAGATTCGACATGCGAGCCAAGAAGCCTCCAAATTTCCCGCAAAGAAAGATAGATCAGGACCTGCGCAGCAGAGCACGATTATCAATGTCTCGCGGCCGCCCGACCCGATGATCCCATCTCGGCTCAGCAGCGAGTACCTTCTTCTACATCCTACGCGCGGCGCCTAGTCGTGCACCGCCGCTGGAGCCCTAGACCCACTGCCACTACTGCTTGGAGGCGGCGATGGCGATGGCGCTGGCTCCTCCTCCCTCCTCCGCCCCAACACACACGGCCAGTAAAAAGAAATTACTTACCACTCCGTATCAGGGGTTTTGGACATGATGGCGCTCGTACGGCAACGCTACGAGGTGGCCCATTTTCCCGGTCACGGGGCGCATACATTTTATCTTTGGAGGGTTTTAGCTAGGGTTCTTCGCTCTGGCTCTGGCGCCATGGAGGAGGCCATGGAGCTACTGTCCCGGGAGGCGCGCGAGCTCTCCCTGGGCAGCCAGGTGGAGCGCGTCGCAGCGCCAGTGTCTCCGCTGCGTTTCCTTCGCGATTTCGTCATGCCGGGTAAGCCGTGCATTGTAACGGGCGGCATCCAGCACTGGAGCGCTCTCCGCAAGTGGTCCAACGATTATCTTCGCGCAGCGCTTGGGGATCAGCAGGTCAGCGTCCATTTCACTCCAGATGGCCGCGCAGACTCAATCGTCGACGTGCGCGGCATGGAAATGCTACCAGATGCCGACGGCGGTGGCGACGGCGATCTGGATCCCATCGATGGCGACCAGGAAACGCTCATGTTCGTCAGCGCTCACGTCCAGTCGATGCCTTTCGCCCAAGCTCTGGAAGCTGTTCTCGGCAAGAGAAGCAGTAGCAACGTAGCGTACCTCCAGCAGCAAAACGACTGCCTGCGCACAGAGTACTCGCGGCTGATCGACGACGTGGAGGCCGACATCCCGTGGGCGACTCAAGCGCTGGGCTCACTGCCCGAGGCTGTCAATCTCTGGATTGGCAACGAGAACTCCGTGACATCCTTCCACAAGGATCACTACGAGAACCTGTACGCTGTTGTGGCGGGGGAGAAGCACTTCACGCTGCTGCCACCCGTGGACGTCCACAGGCTCTACATCCGTGACTACCCCGCCGCAAGCTACGTGCCATCGCCGGTAAAATTCCTTGCTCGCTAGCTGATATATATATGCGTAACAGGCACAGCAGGAGGACGAGCGCAAGCTGGTGATGAGGAGCGATCGCCCGCGGAGAATGGTGCCGTGGGCGAGCGTGGATCCCGAGTGCCGCCATCAAGACAAGCACAAGTTTCCCAGGTACTTCAGCAGCGGAGGTGGCGAGCCGTTCCACTGCACAGTTGGAGCTGGAGAGATCCTTTATTTGTGAGCTCCTCCTCTCAAAACAAACTCCATTGAATGATCTAACTGCGCTGCTCGCGTGTGTGTGTAGGCCCAGCATGTGGTTCCACCATGTCACTCAGCGGCCCGACTCGGGAGGCAGGACAATCGCCATCAATTTCTGTAAGTCGTTTGTTAGCGCCGTATCCCTCCTTTGCTTCTTCTTTTATTTGGCTTGTTTTCTCTCTCCAGGGTACGACATGGCGTTTGATATCAGATACGCATACTTCAACTTCCTGGAATCCTGTGTCAACAAGAAGACGAAGAACACTACTATCGAGTGATATATATATATATATCACTATCACTCACAGGTACCTTTTACTCGTGTCTAGGGCTGATAGATCAAAGCGGAGCTTTAGGGCTTTGTACTGGAGCTGGGAGGAATGCAGGTGGGAGAGGGCGCCCCAAGGCGCACAGGCGGCGGTGGGAGTCGCAGGAGAGTGGTGGTGAGCGACGACGACGATGGCGAGGGCGAATGCGTGAGTGGCAAGAGGAGTCGCAGGGCTGTCATTGATCCGGGGGACGAGGACGATGAGGAGGAGAGCGTGGCATTGAGGCCTAGAGCTGACGATGGCTTGGCGATCGGCTTGGAGGAGGACGATGCGTCCATCCGGCATCTGCAGGGAAGGCCCCAGGATGTGATCAAGCACACGCTGGGGAAATGCGAGAGGATCACTGCCAAGCTCCGGAGTGCGCTAACCGAGGCCGCGAAGCTCGTCTCTCATGTAAGTTTATTTGCTCTCTTTCTTTCTTTCTTTCTTTCTTTGCTTGCTCGAGATTGATTCTTTCTTGGTTTCCAACTCGCAGGCCGAGGTACAAGCAGCGTGCCAGATGGCTGGCTCCAACAAGGATCAAATGCTCTGCCCTTACCAAGTTGTGGGGGTTAACTTCCTTCTTTTGCTCTATCGCAAGCGTCTAGGCGGAGGTGAGCACCGCTTTTCCTAGTACCAGTGCTGCTTCTCATCCTTTTTGCCCATCGCAGCGATCCTTGCCGACGAGATGGGCCTAGGAAAGACTGTGCAGGTAAGTAGGCAACTTTGGTCTCTAGGAAATACGCCAAACGTGATCGTGCTTGCAGGCAATTGCGTTTCTGGCGCTTATAAAGCACCTGGATGGCGACGCTGGTCCGCATCTCATCGTCACTCCCGCTTCGGTCCTAGAGAACTGGCAGCGGGAGCTCGAAAAGTGGTGCCCTGCCTTCACTGTCATTCCATTCCATGGTAACGAGCGCAGTGCCTTCAAAGACGAGCTCCTGTCTGCGGCGAGGTCCGACAAGCCACCCCCGTTTCACGTGTTCTTGACCGGCTATTCTCTCTTCGAGCGAAAGAGGTAGGCGGATACTTGGCTTGCTTTCTCCCACCAGTTTTCCATTTCGCCAGTGCAGCGTCCAAGGATGATCGCAGCATGCTGAGGAAGTGGAAGTGGAGCTGTATTGTCATGGACGAAGCGCATCTTCTCAAAGATCGCACGAGCTACAGGAACAGGAACCTCAAGTCGCTAGCCCGGCGGGCTTGCCACCGCTTGATGATAACCGGGACCCCTTTGCAAAACGACCTCCAGGTGCGTTTGTGGATGTAACTTGCGCTGAGTCTCCGATTGTCTTTTTTTTCCCTCCAGGAGCTCTGGTCATTACTAGAATTCACAATGCCGGCCATCTTCACAAACTGTGAGTTCGATGCGATCCTGGACAACAGAAATGGGAGAAGGGTGTTGACTGCAGATAACATCGACCTTATCAAGCAGATCCAGGCCATACTTTCCCCATTTGTTTTACGTCGTGTGAAGGCCGCCGTGATGGATCAGCTGACACCAAAACTTCAAAAGGTACGCGTACCTGATCCTATCTGGTACGGTATTTCATCTTTTACGTTCTACCGGATGTCCAGGTGGAATCTGTTGACATGGTGGAAAGCCAAGATGTTGCATACAGGGAAGCGTTGGTGGAGTATCGACAGTCTTTTACGTCCTCGTGTCCCCAACGGCAGGTTTCGAGCATCTTCACGCAGCTTCGAAAGGTTTGGTTGAGTTTGTGTCCAAGTCAGGAGTGCGTGTGGCTTGCTGCAGCTGGCGAACCACCCGCTGCTCGTCCGACGAATCTACACGAATAATGACGTGGAAAAGCTGGCCAAGAGGTGCTTTCAGCATGGCATTTTTGGCAGTGAGTGTACACTGGAGCGCATCGTCGAGGAGCTCAGTAGTTACAATGACTATACGTTGCACAAGGTACCGACAAGCACCCATATAAAAATAAACTGTGTCTTGTGGTGTAGCTCTGCTGTACGCATGGGATGTTGGCGAGCCACTCCAAATTGCGTGACAAAGATGCCCTCGAATCTGCAAAATGCCAGGTGAAACCATGCCTTCTGTTATGTTTTGTGTGTCTAAAGAGTTTGTTGTTGCAGCTCCTGGTGAAGCTTCTCCCTCACTTGCAGAGCGCAGGTCACCGGCCTTTGATATTCAGCCAGTGGACAGGAATGCTGGATATCCTCGAGTGGGTGCTCCAGGTTATGAATCTCAGCTACAGGCGTCTGGACGGGAGGTACGTACCAAAGCTCTGCGTTGCAGTGAATAATCCATGATGCTAGCTGTTTTTCTCCTTGCAGCACTCAAGTTTGTGAGCGACAGAGCCTGGTGGACGATTTCAACAAGGAGCTCGACATATTTGCGTTCCTGCTCTCTACTCGAGCTGGTGGCCAGGGTCTCAATCTCACGGGCGCGGATACTGTCATCATCCACGACGTGGATTTCAACCCGCAGATGGACCGCCAAGCCGAGGACCGATGCCACCGAATTGGTCAGTCCAAGTCCGTGACAGTCTACAGGTATATGGTTTTATGGTGTGTTTGCAAGCTGCTTATGTTTTTCTTGGCTCAGGCTGGTGACCAAGTCGACGGTTGATGAGAACATATATGGGATTGCGCAGCGGAAGCTCGTCTTGGATGCTGTTCTCGAGGGCGATGTGTCGTCGTCGTCGCCGTCCGCTGATGAAGACGAGAGAACAATGGGACAGATACTATCGATGATATTGAGTTGATCGCTTCTTAAAATGTGTATAGACCTCGGAGGATTATTTGGAGGAAAACAAATGTGGTGCTGGCTTTGAGCCCTAAACCAGGCACTACATTGTAAAATTTTTAATGAAAATTAAAAAAGATAAAAACAAACTTTTTGTTCGGAGTCTGGAGCCTGTTCCAACATCCACCGTGCGCGCACAGCATCAACTTGATCAGCCTGTTATCAGATTTTTGTACCTTCATGCAACTATAGAAATGCACCGCTACCATATGAGACGAGTCTCCAGCTTGGACCTTCAGCACTGAGCCAGAAATTTCTTAAACCATGATCCATCTACTGGATCTAGTCGATTTTATACACTAGAAATTAATGCTGTGTGGTTGACAAACCCCATAGCCTAACGCCTCTGAATCTCTCCTCGATTGCACTTGCAGGAACCAAAGTTACCATGGTCCAAACCGCTTCGTGTTTTCTCGCATGTCAAGCCTAATTTTTCAAGCTTGTGTTCTTGGAAGTCAAACTGCACCAGATGGCAGCTCCAGCACCTGGAAGAGAATATATTGAAACAAAGAAAAGTAGAAGCTTTACAATCACACCTTTGTCATGGCTTAGAGAAGGCTAAGCCTGCATAGACTTGACCCGTGCCGCCAGCTCCCTTACCTGACTCCGCAGCCGATCAGGAGCACAGAAAAAGTTGACAAACACCTGCTTCTCCCTGCCAACCTCATGAGGGTGGTGTTTGACAATCTGCATGCAATGGATTAACGGTGAGACTTTCTAATCAGCCCGTACCTCTGCCTTCTCCCGGTGCTCGCGAGTCACTTCCTCTATTGCCAAGGAAAGCTGGGAATTCACCTTTTCCATGTCCGCCAGCTCTTTCATCAATGGCTGTTCGGCGGCGCAGAACGAAACTGAGTGTTAGTACGAGCAGAGCGGGCGGGTTTGCATACCCAAGGAGTTAGAATTGGTTGCGCAGTCGTCGATGACGCAAAGAGAAGCTGCTGCATTCTTCTGATGATGGTCAGGCTGCAACAAGCCGAGCAGTAGATTGAATATGGCACCTGTGATAGATTGTACTCACAGCTCGCTTATGCATTTCGCTTTGTCCTCAGTATTGTCAAGCTCCAGTTGTAGGGATTGCAACTCTGCCTGCAAGTTGTTCACCTGCTGGACTAGACCTGGAACTGACACGTAGATTGGAATGGCTCCCTGTTCATCTGTAAGCCGGGCATGAGTCTCTTTCGCGTTTGCGGCGCATCCTTACATGTATATATGTTCAAGAGGTCTCTAACGCGATGCAGAAAAGTGTCGCGATCATCCACAGCGCCATGCTCTTGTGCTTCGGCACCCGCTTGCGACAATGACAGACACCGATCCTGAGAAACCACAAAAACAAGTGCCCGTCAAACAGGTCAGGAAATGTCACGCGCCATCTCACAATGCGCCCGATGGTAGCCTGGGTGTACCCGTCGAGCTCTGACTCTATTGCCCTCAGCAGCTCAAATGCACCGTTCATAGATCTCCTCTCAAGATGGCAAGCGATCTCAAGGAAACGATGCCGAGCGAGTTGGCAGACCAAGTGGCTGATGAACTAGCAGGCACCCACCAAAATTCGTTAAAACAAACGCGAGATCATCAACTTGAAAGCTCAACCCGTTTCTGTTGCGACATGTAGTACTCCTGCCGCATGACCTTGAGGTCATAGTCTCCTGAAAACACATTGCCAGCACTGTTAGCCGCAGATAAAAAGTGTAGGTGATCACCTTGTAAAATATACGTGTCTTGAAGTTGCGCGAGTTCCCAGCACAGTGAAGGAACAGCCTGCGGCACAACATGAGTTACACGCGGTCTGGAAAACTCAAAGACTTGCCTCAGAAAGCAGCTTGTCCTCCTTCAAAACAAGTGGATGCAGCTCGCTTCCTACATCTGCATTCCTCCGCCTTCACTACTAGACTCGTCAACCGACGCAGCTGGAATGGAGAATGCCGCCTACCTTAAGGAATGAAGATCTGAATGGACATACGCTTGATCGGCGGAAGCCTGCAACTTGACTGTCGCAAGCACTGCCAGCTGCTTCGCCTTTTCAACCTGAGCGTCAATCCACTGTCTCTCGCTTATGCCGAAACTGTCCTATTCCAGAAAGAACAAGACAAGCAGTTACAGCAGAGCTAGCACATAAGAAGCGACAACGTGCGTACATGGAGCGCAGGCGCTGCAGTTCCAAAACTCGCCTATGGTGGCTCTTCTCGGAGTCTCCTGAACACGAGGAGAGCCAGTCAGTCTGGAGAAAGCAAATGTGCCGGCCGTGTTTACCTTGCGTTACCAAATCATCAAGTGTCACCCACGAACATTTAGACTTTCCTTCTTCGGCTACTAACCGGGAGGGACCCTGTGACACGCGAGCATCGTTAAACCGGCGTGGTTCTCATGCACACAGTGTGCCTTACCACATCAAACTGCTTCACAAACCACTCGTTGAGCTGTTTGGTACAAGCTTGATCCTGAACCAGGAAATGACCCAAGTCGGCAAACGAAAGAAAGATCCCTTGCTCTGCAGCCGCCAAAAATCCCGTGCAAACGTAAGAAAACATAGAAAGAACAAGCAAAGCACCTTCCCCCGAGTGATAGTGCGCAAGCTCTCTAGCGGACGAGGCAAGCTTGTCAAGGACGGTGTTCATCTGCGAGTGAATTGTGAATGCCTAGCCAGCAGAGAGAAGACGAGAGAAAGTTACCTCTAAGTTGCGACTAGCCAGCTTCTCCTCGGCGACCATCATCTGGTTGCCTGCAGCGGATGCAACAGCAACTCTGGCTCTTCGCCCTTGCATGAGCGACGACGTGTAGGCAGTGAGCGAGTCCATGTGTGCTTGCAGAAGCTGGACCCTCCGCTGCAATGCGGAAGCCTCTTCTTTGAGGCAGTGCGTGCCTTCCCTGGGGAAAGAAACACGAGGGAGTCAAGCAAGAGGAAGCTGGATGGATTACCGGATCTCCTTGAGGGACTCCTCAGCACCCAAGACGGCCTCCTGGGTTGATCTCTTGCTCTCAAACGCGGAGATGCTGCCGTAGGCAAAATCCAGGTCCTCGCCCTGGAGTCGCGCACGCTGGATGAATGGCACGAGAAAAGAAGCGCAAGCTCACCTGGAGAAGCTTTCCTTGGCTGAGCAGCTGGGTGTAGTGATGGAGCTCGGGCACAGCGAGCACATTGGAGGTTCGCAGATTGGTACACAGCCAGTCGAGGAGTGGCCTCGTCTCTTCGTACTGGAAGGGCCACTCGTAGCTGTCTGGATCCAGCATTTGCCAGGAATCATAGCCCAGATCGGCCAGGAGCGTGCACAGCCTCGCCCCGCTCATTGCCGCGCACGCAAAAACCCTAACACTCCAAATTTTTTAGGTCATCCACCGTTACCCAGGATCATTCGCCATGGGCAGCCATCCATCCAACAAGCTTGCCACCGATCAAGCCCACGTCTCTCCAAGTAGGAGCGCGCGCGCGCGCTCTCGTTCCCTCATTTCCAACTTTCCCACCTCTTTAATTCGCAGGGCTCGTCCTCAATGACTTTCTCTCCCCGAGGTCCAGCGTCTCAGCTCCTGCCCGAATGAATGCCTCGGTCTGCGATGGGTGAGCCGCCCCTGCGCATTCTCATTTTCTACTTGATCTGTGTGTTTGTGTGATCATCAGTAAAAAGGCCTGGAAGGTGTCGAGGCCATTGCCGGTGAGAAGGAAAGAGTTGATGCAAGACAGCCTTCGCAGCCGGTTCATGGAGGACAAGGTAAGCTATACGGTCATAGAAAACCTCTCAACGTTACCAGTGCCACTTCAGGCACGGAAGCTCCAGGATGCCAATGACGCAGATGAGATTTGGACCTACCATCGCTGCAGGGACTTCGAAGCCAAGGTGAAGGAGGCCGCCATCGCGATTCCTATTTCCGACTGTGGTGGCTGACAACCAACTAGCTTGACTTTGTGAAGTGTAGGATCCTTTGGAACGGCGCCTGCTAGAGCAAGGCATCACTCCTGTTTATGATCCAGCGCACAGGGACGTTCCGTGCTTCAGGCAACTCGTGCCCGACATCCTGGACTTTCGAGTATTTCTCAATGCTCCGGGCCCCAAGAGCGGTGGCCACTTCCAGTGCCACATATACAGAAAGCACGAGCCTAACATGCTCTACTCAAGGTATTGCATCTACGCTCGCTCTCTCCGTATAACTTGTGCTGCTACCAGGTACAAGCTTTGCCTGGGCGAGAGGGACCGCTTTCTCTTGTCTGCCAGGAAGAGGAAAAAGAGCAGGACCAGCAACTATGCCATTTCTATAGACGAGAACGACATATCAAACAAGACAGGGAACTACTTTGGAAAGGTGGTGGAGCTCTTGTCCTCGCTCAGCTCATCTTGACAATGTGTCCTGTCTCGCAGCTGCGTTCCAATTTTGTGAGGACCGAGTTTTTGGTTTATGACAAGGGCCAGCGCCCGTCATTTGAGCCTGGTAAATGGTTGGTCTTTGAGGCTTTCTAACACCTCGGCTGGCTGCTCGGGCTTTAACGCGCGCTGGGTAACTTGACAGTTTGTCGTCCAAGAGCGTGAGAGTGGAGGTTGGCGGCGTGATTTACCGGAGAAATGTGTTTGGAAGAGGGCGCGGGAGGATGACGGCCGTCATACCTGCGTTGGCTGAGGACCTCAAGCCTTGTGTCTTCCAGCCGCTGACAAAGGGCTCAAGTACCATCCTTGACAAGTACAAGAGCGGTCGAGAGCTTGACAGGATGACGGTCTTGCACAACAAGTGCAACGTTGAAGAGTGCAACGGCCAGGCCTCGAAACGGAACTTTCAGGTTTGCGTGATTTTATGTCTATCTGTAGCTCTTCTTCTGTGGTGGCTCCAGCTGGTGGCAGAGAACGCGAGGAACTGCATTGCTCTCCAGTTCATAAAGGTGCTTTTATTATTGTAATTTCTTTTGGTGCGCAGCATGACAATGTCACGGCACCCAGGTTGACAAGAATATCTACACAATGGACTACAGATATCCAATATCAGCATTTCAGGTAACTCCTGAAGCGAATTAAACTACATTCCCTTAACAATAGCAATGTGTGTGTCCGTAGGCTTTTGCGTTGTGCTTGTCCAGCCTCGACTACAAATGATAGACGAGAGAAGAATCAAAGGCGAGAGATTTGCAAGGGTCGCATGTCCTCGGCCGCCATTGCAGGTTGGAAGAGCTCCAGGCACTTGCCGCGCTCAACGAGGCCCTTGCGACACTCTGACGCCGCGAGTGCCCCAGTGGCGAAGGCACCGTGCACAGTGCCAGGAAAGCTCGCGCTAGTGGCTTCGCCGGCAAAGAAGAGTGTGTCCACGGGAGCCCGCAGCTGCTCATACAGCTCGTGTTGCTTCCCAACCATATCGTAGGTATAGCAACCCAGAGAATTGATGTCGGACCCCCAGCGTGATACCAGGAACTTGACCTGCAATGGGGTTCCGTCAACCTTGACAAACCACGAGGAATGAAACTACTTACAGGTTTGGCGGCATTTGGAAGGATTTTCTGCAACAGGCCGAATGCAAAGCTCGCAGCTTCCATATCCGACAGCTTCTCAATATCGTCTGCGAGGCGGCCAGCGGGCATGTACACGAGGACGGGATGGCCCGTTGGCTTGTGCAGATTCAAAAAGTAGCTGCAGCCGTACGTTGTGGAAGCAACCACGCCCAGAAACTCCACATTCGGCCAAAACACCACGTCAAAGCACAAAGCAATCTTGTTCTCATTGCCAAGTCCAAGGCCGGCAAAAGCTTCTTCCTTCCAAGCCGGCAGTCGCGGCTCGAAACGGATGATTTTGGCCTTCAAAACACCCGCGGGAACAGCCACAACTGCAGCGTCCGCCTCAAACACTTGGGAATCCTCGGTAACAATCTTCACTCCTTGACTATGTCGAATCACTTGAACGACTCTGTTGCATACCAAAACATAAGCAACCTGTGAGAATGGGGCTTAACTCACTCACCTATGGTTGAGCCGAATATCTATACCCTCCGCTAGATGTCGAACGACGGGGAAATACCCCCGGACCATGAGCCCGTGGCCCCCTTCAAGCAGCTCCTCCTGTGCACCAAAGTGTTCATAACTAAGCCCTCTTGGCCAACAAACAACATACCTCGTCCCAACATCGCACAGATATCTGGTCAGCGTCCGCTCCAAACCAGCCTTCTAGCCTACATAGATACCACTCGAGTACTTTCTTGGCCAGGCCTTCTTGTCTACAATGCAGTTGTTAGTAGTCATCACACCAATGCAGAAAATCGCCACTACCTTAATTCTGGATGCCTTTCCAGCACGACCGAGAATGCCTTGGACACAGAGATGTCCTCGGGGAATTCTTCTCGAATCTTTTTGGTCTGAAACAAAAACATGTCAGTCGCAGAAGCTGCAAGCCCCAAAAACGCGTACCATCTCTAAAAGCGCTTCAAACGACTCGCCAACTCGAAAGACCAGCTCCGGTGGAACTTGGACCCCGTCCATATCAAACAGTGCATAGCTGGAGGAAAGGGAAAAGTTCAGTAAAGCTTGAGCAGCGAAGCCAGCAACAAGATTTCAGGTTGGAGATATGGCGTAAGCAGGTGGAGATTTCACCTGTGAGAAATGGTGGTTACTCGGGCTTGCTGCTAACCATAGCCACCAGCCACCATGCTCATGAGAATGCACCTACAAATGCAGCCTAAACACACACAAAGCAACGTGCCTTTCCAAGTCATGGTCATAGAGAACAGAATTATCGCCGCTGGTGCGGTAAAGAGGCAAGCCCAAGCGCCCAATCACGGACGCCAGAGGATTGTCTTCGCTCACGCCGTGTAGCCTGCAAACACGCAAAGGCAAGTTAAAATATCAGGCAGCAAGAGATTGCTAGTGCTTACCAGGACGCGCCCATATCAACTGGGAAACCGAACGAATAGTCGGTGTGAACTCGGCCTCCAATCCGGCCACGCGATTCCAGAACCGTGACCTGCCAGCCCCCCCATTGGGCTCGGTGCTCTTGATTGACATATAGGAAAACAACCATACCTTAAACGAAGCCTTGTGCAGGGCCCTCGCGGCTGCGAGACCCGCGACTCCAGCCCCAACAACAATCACAGACGGCGGACCATCATGGACGCGGCCCCCTGCGCAGTCTCCAAGCGTAAGCAAGCGTGTGCAAGCAAACAACGATCCGGGAAAGGGATGACACATACCTCCTTTGTTTTGCGATGCTGGAGCCATATAGCAGTGCAACGATCTGGCAGATGGACGAATCTAAGACACGGGCGCGCTGCCCTGTATTAACGGCTTGACTATCAAACACAAGTGGAGATACTTGAAAGGAAAGACGAGGAAGAGGAACATAAAGAAGACAGGATTGAAAGGAGTCATGCGGCAGGCGGCGGGCATCAAGCAGCAGCAGGCATACACACGCGCTTCCTCCCTCTCTCTCTCGCTCTCTCGCTCTCCCTCTCACCACCAGCCCTAAACCCCCTTTTGTAGGCACCCGTTAGCTGTCCACGTGTCAGTCGGCGGGTGGACACGTCGACACCGTGTTGGAGCAACAAAGCCCACTCTCTCTCTCTTGTCATGAAAATGCAAAGCTAGCTATAGGGCGCATCAAGTTCCTTACCTTTGCAAGCAACTATGATAAGAGAGGTCTTGTCTTCTGGAAGATGATGGAATGGAACCAAGGGTAGGTAGAATTTAAATAGTGGAATTGCCTTTATCCACATCATGATACAATTTTGTCAAATTTGGGGCTAGACGCATTGGTAGGCTATGGAGGAATCGTCATCGGACCAGCACATATCCGGCCTCGCCGTGCTCGACTACATTGGGTTCAAGCTCACGTCCGCGACACCCGAGGGCGTCCACGGCACCTTCGTCGTCTCCCGCAACTCGTGCCAGGTGAGCCACCGTCGTGAATCCATACTCAAGCAGGCAGAGCGTTGTTGATCAGCCGTTTGGCGTGCTGCACGGCGGCGTCTCGGCCTTCATTGCCGAGGCCGTGGCAAGCATGGGTGCCCAGATTGCTTCCAAGTGGGAGCGCGTCGCGGGAATCGAGCTCAACATCAACCACCTGCGGGCGGTACCCCTGGGCCACCGGGTGACCGTCGACGCACTACCCCTTCTCGTCGGACGCCGGATACAGGTGTGACACAAACCAACCAAATTTTCCTTTCTTTGCCTGTGTGATCATCATCATCATCTGTTCTGTATGACACTATGCCCAGGTCTGGGAGGTAAAACTATGGGCTCCACCGGCGTCTTCTTCTTCTTCTTCTTCGGATTCTTCTTCTGATCCTTCCTCCACCAATTCCTCAGTCATTGCGGTTTCCAGAGTGACGCTTGTGGTCGGTCTCCCAAACGCTTCCAAAGGGGCTCACTTCAAGGACGTTGTGGCGGCCAGAGCCAAGCTGTGAGGCAGCTATGCCTATAGAATGTCGATAGTGACGACAACAATGACGAACGAAAACGCTTATAGTTACCTCCAGGGGCTAAACGTCGTCTTGGACGTGGTACATGGATTTGAGCTTGGCCACGCTTGCATCCTCATTCTCCAGGCTGTGCAACATCTTGAAGTAGCTGCTCATCTGCTTGCCCTGCGCCTCAGCCAGTGCCTCCTCCGCCTCTGCGTGAAGCTGCTGGCTTTCTCCTGAGACCATCAAACAAGAACCAAGAGATTCCAGACCTTGCAAAGCGTGTCCATCTCCCGCTTGTGCTTGTCATGCAGCCGCTTGAGCTGCGCAAGCTCCGGCGATCTCACCACCCTCATCTCCGTCTCCCTGCCACGTCTCGGCTGCTGCTTACAGCTGAAATGCCCGCTGCCATGCACGGCGGTCACGGGCCTGGGCGTGCCACCGATCATCACCAGGAACTTGTGCAGGTGCGTCACCACGTTGTCGGCATCGGCCGCGCTGCCCATGGTCACCAGTGCGCGCCCAATCCCCAGCTGCTGCTTGGGATCAACGGGGTTCTTGACAAGCTCCACCGCCCGCACGTCTCCAAACTGCCGCAGCGCCGCCTCCACCGCAGCGGCGCTCACGGCGGGGGCCAGGCCCTCCACAACAACGACATGCCGCCGCGGATCATCGTCCCCTCCCGCGCGCGTCGCGGCAGAAGAACACATGATCATGAACGGGCATAAACCCTAGCTCGGGAAACTAGGGCTTTTGGGAGCAAGATGAAGCCACCGGCTATCCTGTCGTGCCTGTCCAACCATTGCATCCTCCAGCCCGGCTCCGACGACGACGCCGCTGCTGGTGATGCTGCTGGTGATGCTGCTGCTGCTCCTCCTCTCCCCGCGCCACTCCAAGTGCCCGCTAACGAGGTAACAGGTTCTACATTCTCATATGCGGAGTGGCATTCTCATCGCCACGCACTCCTTTGCAGTGCGCGAGCTGCCCCAAACAGATCAAGTTCGACTCGGTGCCTCTCCATGGCGGCTTCACGCTTCTCAGGGTCAGTCCCTCTTTGTTCCTCGTTGTGATCTCAGCCAGCGCGCCATGCAAACACAGGGCCGAATCAATGCGTCTGAGATACTTGGCATCTCCAACTCGGACCTCGTGCCTGGGAAATACGAAGGTGTGTGTGTCAAGTGGCCCATTTTTCTTTTCTCAACCATCACTCCTCCTGAAGGTGGCTTTAAGCTGTGGGAATGCGCCATCGATCTCGTGGACACTTTGAGGCGCGAGATTCAAGACGGGCAACTCTCGTTCCGGGGCAAGCGCGTTCTGGAAGTACGTACGATATTGTCTACTGCCTGCCTGTTCTAGAGTAAGGAAAATTGGCTTTGTCCCAGGTCGGGTGTGGCCATGGTCTCCCGGGAATCTTGGCGTGCATCAAGGTCAGCTCGGGTCTAGCTAGTCAGTCATTTGAAGCAACCGGTGGTAAACTTTGCTCGTGTTTTGGTGGCAGGGCGCTTCTGTTGTCCACTTTCAAGATTTCAACGCTGAGGTGTTGAAGTGCTTGACGATCCCAAACGTGCATGCCAACCTCGATTACGCTCGTGCTCGGCTGTCCCAGTCCACTGATGCGCTCACGCCGACCAGGTCAACGGTGATTGCTCCCGAAGTCCAGTACTTTGCTGGTGACTGGGACAACGTTGGCTGCCTGCTCTCCACGGTCAAATCAAGTGCGGACGATCGAGACACCATCGACGGTAGCAGTGCGGTCACGGATGCCTCGGAGCCGGAGATGATTCGGAGTGAGAGCCAAACGGAGCTCAGCAGGAGTAGAAAGCGGTCCGGAAGCCGGGCTTGTGACAGCAGGAGGGAAGAGAGCGTGGACGAGGGCGGCTACGACGTTGTTCTCATGTCGGAGACCATATACTCGGTGTCTTCGTTTCCCAAGCTCTATGCTTTGATGGCTAAGGTACGCACCGCACCGCACCGTCTTTCTTTACACAAGGAAAAAAATCTGGCTTTGCTTGCTCAGTGCCTGCGGCCATATTATGGAGTGGCATATGTTGCCGGCAAGAAGCACTACTTCGGCGTGGGCGGTGGAACTCGACTGTTTAAGCACATGGTCGAGGAGCAAGGTTTGCATCTCGTTTGCTAACAGAAAGAATAACACTCGGTTTCGTGGCCCAGGTGTCCTAGGAGCTCATCTCGTTGCCGAGTTTGCGGATGGATCGTCAAATGTAAGAGAGATATGGAAATTCTTCTTCAAGCAATAAGAAACAAGGATGAATGCTTGTGGCGGCTTGGGCTTGGACCGGAGAGGCTACATCCAAGCGATGAAGTCGTGCCGGAGCTTGTCAGTGGCGGAGAGCATTCATTCCCAGGTCCAGCACCTTCTCCATGCCGACGTGCAAATGTCCAACATGCTGCTTCACATGTATGCCAACTGCGGGAGCGTGGAGCGTGCGCGCGCCGTGTTCGATGGGATCGCGCCCTGGGCCAGGAATCTCTTCTCCTGGGTGCTCATGCTGTCCGCGTATGCCCGAAGTGGGCATACACGCCAGGCGCGCCAGGTGTTTGAAGCCATGCCCGAGCACGACCTCGTGTCCTGGACAAGCATCCTGGATGCTTACGGCCGGGAGGGGATGCTGGGCGAAGCATGGCAAGTGTTTTGCAGCATGCGCCAGAGGGACCTCGTCTCCTGGGCAGCGATGCTGGCGGCCTTTGTAGCAAATGGGAGGCTCGATTGCGCCAAGCGTATCTTTGACGCGATGCCGGAGAGGAACCTCGTGTCGTGGACATCTATGCTGTCAGCGTATGCTCAAAGGCGGCATCTGTACAAGGCCAAGCGAATGTTTGATGGGATGCCCGAGAGGGACTTGGTGTGCTGGACGGCGATGCTGGTGGCCTATGCACAAAACGCAGTCGTTGAGCAGGCCAAAGCCGTGTTTGATGCAATGCCGGAATGGGAGCTAGTGTGCTGGAACGCAATGCTGGCGGCGAATGCTCAAAACGGGCGTGTGAGCGACGCAGTGGCCCTGTTCGCCTCCATGCCTGAAAAGAACCTGTGCTCTTGGAACACACGCCTGTCCCTGGAAGCGGACAGTGGTAGCATGGATCGGGCCAAGCAACTGTTCTTGCATGAGATGCCTGAGTGGAACGTGGTGACCATGAACGCGATGGTTACGGCGTATGGTCAGAACGGGCACCTTGTCGAGGCTCGGCGTGTGTTTGATGCCATAGGAAAGGAGAGGGATGTCATCTCTTGGAATGCCATGCTCACCGCTTACGCCCAACACGGTGGTGGCATGGAGGAGGCAAAGCTCGTGTTTGACAGCATGCCGGAGCACAACCTCGTCTCCTGGAATGTCATGCTGTGCTGCTACGGACAGCACGGACACGTCGGGCAGGCCAAGCGGATGTTCAGCGTGCTGCAGGAGCTTGAGCAGTGTGACCTCGTCTCTTGCAACAGCATGCTGTCGGCCTATGCGAGCTGCGGGGAGCTGGAGCAAGCCCAGCTCATGTTCGATTCGATGCAGGAGAGGGACCTCTTCTCGTGGAACATACTCCTATCGGCTTATGCGGCGGCGGGGCGCACGGTGCAAGCCAGGCAAGTGTTCGGGTGCATGCCAGAGCGAGCCGTCGTGTCGTGGAATGCGGTGCTGGCGGCGTATGCGCAGCGCGGTACCGCCGGCAGTGCGAGTGAGGCGCTGGAGGTGCTCCACGGCATGCTGCTGGTGGAGATGCCCGACGAAGTCACCCTCGTGTGCGCGCTGCTGGCGTGCAGCCGCCTTGGCCAACTCGCCACCGGGCTGCACTTGTTCAGATCCATGGCCAGCGACTTGCAGCTGCTGCATGCCACACAAAAGCACTACGGCTGCATGGTGGACGTGCTAAGCCGTGCTGGCCATGCGGAGGCGGCCCGCGATCTGGTGGCGGCGATGCCGTTTGTGCCCACTGCCCAGGACTGGAGGTGCCTGCTCATGAACAGCAGCAGCGGCTCCAAGCTTGCGGCCAGCCGCGTGTTTGCGTTGGAGCCCAAAGACTGTGCGGGCTACGTGCTGCTGGCCAACACCTGGAGCATGCCGCAAGCTGGGGCATTGGTTTCAACGGTGGGAATATGCCAGGGGGCATCTTCGGCCACGTAGGACTTACATGGATCATTCATTATCGCCAGCGCTTGTGGAGAGGTAGGGGAGGGAGCGGCGCTGCTCTATCCAGGGCTTGCGCGTGCTGGAGGATCACAAATGCGCAATCCAATTGAAGTGGTAACAGTAGTAGTAGTCGATGCGCAGCTAGACTTTTAGTGGCAACGAGAGGGTGCTCGAATGGCTAGCAGCATGCCATCGACCGTGATGATTTCGAGCAGGATGGATTCAATCTGCAGGCCGTGCCTTGCTGCCAATTCGGGCCTTCGCTATTGTAGGCCAAGAGCAGCAGCAGCAACAGCTCAGTTCTCGTCCACCAACAAGCTCAAGCTTGAGCCACTGCTCATCGGCGGAGTGATTAGTAGGCAGCAGCCCCGGGCATCATTCAAGGCAGAGACGTATGAAGCCAACCAAGGCGAGACGGCGCCGCCAAGTAGCGCCGAGCCAGCAGCTCCCATGAACAGGCTCAAGATTGGGATCTACTTCGTGACATGGTGGTCCCTCAACGTTGTATTCAACATCTACAACAAGAAAGTCTTGAACGCTTACCCCTTCCCATGGCTCACGTCCACGCTTTCCTTGCTCGCTGGCTCCACGCTCATGTTTCTGTCATGGGCAACAGGGCTCGTCGCTCCACCCGACACAGATGTGGAATTCTGGAAATCGCTCTTCCCGGTAAGCTCTCGCTCATGCTTGGCTAAACGAGAAATAACAATCTCTATTGTGTTCTCCTGTACAGGTAGCCTTGGCCCATACCATTGGTCACGTAGCAGCGACGGTGAGCATGTCCAAGGTGGCTGTCTCCTTCACGCACATTATCAAGAGCTCGGAACCGGCATTTAGCGTGGTGATCCAACGCCTTTTTCTGGGAGAGCACTTCTCCCTCCCCGTCTACCTCTCGCTGATACCGATCGTAGGTGGCTGCGGTCTTGCGGCTCTCACAGAGCTCAACTTCAACATGACTGGTACGCCTATGAGCTGAGTGATTGAGCCGATCCGAGTTTCACGTCTTTCTTTCAGGATTTGTGGGGGCGATGGTGTCCAACATTGCCTTCGTGTTTAGGAACATCTTCTCCAAGAAAGGAATGAAGGCTGGCAAGGCAGTCGGAGGCCTAAACTACTACGCCTGCCTCAGCATCATGTCGCTGGTCCTCCTCACGCCGTTTGCGCTCGTAGTGGAGCCACCACAGCAGTGGATCTCTGGGTGGAATGTTGCCGTCCAAAACGTTGGGCCTCAACTCTTCTGGTACGTGTATTAGGGAGCGAGTGATGGTATCTCATCTCAACTCAATGCAGGTGGGTCATGGCCCAGAGCGTGTTCTATCACCTCTACAACCAAGTCTCATACATGTCCTTGGATGAAATATCTCCGCTCACATTCAGCATTGGGAACACCATGAAGCGAGTCTCAGTCATTGTATCCTCCATAATCATCTTCCGGACACCGATCCAGCCCATCAATGCCGTAGGAGCTGCCATTGCCGTGCTGGGAACGTTTTTCTACTCGCAGGTACAGCATACGCTAGCTATTTAACTCAAGTCGTGACACCTTTTTTGCTTACTCGCAGGCAAAGCAGTGATCAAACATGTATGCTTATTCAAAGTGTCAATTATGTACACAGGCGCAATTTACATGTCTATAAAATCTCAACCTTTCAAAGAGTACTTCCTGCCAGTAAAGGCTTGAAACTTTGCTTCCTTGGGAGCTTCTTCTTTCTCCTCACTGGGCTTCTCGGGTGGCTGTCAAAAAGAGATAGATTACACACCAGGGATGTAACAACAACGAGTGTGGTCTCTACCTTTGGAGTTGCATCAGCAGCATTTGCCGTTGCTGGCCCAAACACAAGCTTTCCATGCGGTCTTTGTGCGGGATCCGGAGCAGGAGGAACTACCTTAGACTTTGGTGCGGAAACAGCCGGAGCCTCTTCTGTGGAAGGCACAGCCCACACCTTTGGTGCCTTCCCATCTAGTCTCCTTCCAACACCCGTAAAAGCGTTAAACTTGGGCTCTTCGGCCGCCTCAGCTTCTCCGTCAGCTGCTGCACGAATCACACACACTAGTTGTCTAGACAGTGAAGGCATGGACAAATTTGTCACCTGTGGCGGCCGCAGGCGGCTGCTGTGGTGGCACCGCCCTCTCTGGCTCTTTGTAGTCGAGTGGCGGAGCAAAGTCAACCTCGCAGTCCGTTTCGATGATTGAGATTGCTGGTGCAGGCTTGGCTTCCACAATATCAATGTAGTACTTCTTGTTGTTGTACGCCACCATGATGTTGTCACCCACAGTGAGGCACGAGAAATTCCTCAGCGTGGTTTCTAATCTGCAAAGCAAGAAGAAACGGAATTTGGAAAGCTGTTAGCAGAGTAAGTACAAGGCTGGTGGCACCTTACTTACACAGCCTTGGGGTTGGAAATGTCAAGAAAGTCCTTGGTGTGAGGCTGCAACTTGACATAGCTGCCCTTGGGGAGCGTCGCGCTTTTCACTCTCACAAGGTCGCCCTCTTGAAGCAAGAGGTTTTGCATCATCTAGGAAGCGCCGTGTCAGCCACTTGGGGTGAAAACGATGCTGGTCTAGCTACACTCACCCAGTAAGGCATGATGATGATTCCTTCGTCGGCCACGAACTCGAGAACTCCGCAGTGTGATGTCCGCGAGGTGGAGGGATTGTGCACCTCAAAGAGCATGGGATAGTCGATCCGTAACGACGCCAGGCGGTCCAGGGCGGACGGAGGCATGATCACTTTGTCGCCGTTCTCCAGATGAGGCTGGCAAGGAGAAGCGCACGTCGCAAAACCGGGTGGAGCGAGAGAGAGAGAAGAGTCTCTTACCTTGTCGATGAAGGAGGCGGAATAGCAGCGATAATTCTGCTCAAACGGCAAGGCCGAGAAATTGATGCCATATCCCCCGAAGTACTGCGGCATCACAAAGCATTGATATTCAGCTTGGTGTTGCTAGCAAAGAAGCCGTCGCGCTCACCATGGCTGTGGATCTCTGTTGCTCCGCGCGAAAACCCTAAGCCTTGCCCTAATCCGCTGGATGGATGTGGCTTTAAATCGCGTTCACGTGGCAGCTCCACCAGCCGCTGGATCTGGAAATTTGGGAATTCCCTCTCTCGACACACACACACACCCACTGCACATGGTTTTTTCGCTTCGTCTCCCGGTTGGACCAACTTTGCTTGCAAGCAACTGTTGTCTCCGAGTTTAATCTGTTGTGTCAGAGTAAAAGATTGATATATAATATCATGTGGTGATCTCGACAATAGTACTTCATTCGAATGCCCCGGCCCGCTTGCGAGCGATCATCGCAAGATTTCAAGAGAATGCGGCCCCAAGCCTTCCTCTTGCTGCTCATGGCCATGGCTGCCGCAGCCTTCTCCGGAGCGAGCAGCGCGAAAACCCTCCACATTGGCTTCCTGTCGTCGGAGCCGGACTGGGCAATTCCGGAATCTCTCTCGCTCGAATGGTCGGTATCCACCTTTAACTTAGCTGATATATACAGAGGTAGATGTAATCACAGTCCTCCTCACTCCGCCCATCTGAAACCAATAGGCAATCCGCGTTCCAAGTCGCAGTGCAGGTCCTCAACAGCGAGGCCAGGGATTCCGCACTGAGATTGGAGGGCGTTTGGGAGAGGTGTGGGTGCGACTGGACATCGGCCCAGAACGCGGCGGCACGGCTGGTTGAGGAATCGCGGAGCAAAGGGGGGCCGGGCGCGCTGCTTGGGGTCGTCGGCCCCGCCTGCAGCCAAGCAGCCGCTGCAGCAGCCAAGGTGTTGCAAGAGCATCAGATCCCGCTCGTCTCGTTTGCGGCCACAGCTGCTCGCCTCTCCAACAGGGACCTATACCCAAACCTTTTCAGGACAGTGTAAGCACTTCAGAACCCAGTGTGACACCCATTCACGATTGTGCGTGGATCTTCACCTACAGGTACAGTGACGACCATCAAGCCTCCTCCATCGCCGCAATGGTAACAATCATGCATGCATATGGTGATACGCACTCCATGTAATAAATGGTGGGTGGCAAACAGGTGAACCAGTTGCAAGCGACAAACGTCACGATCGTCTACACCAACGACGCATACAGCTTGCCCCTGGCCCAACAAATACGCGTAAGTAACGAGTGATTTCAATTTATATTCTTGCATGCACAGTCTCTGTGCGACGGAAACGTCTTCAGGATGGAGCTGCTGGAGATGGGAGTGAACGCCACCTTGAACTCGAGGCAAATCGACGGCATGTTCAACGCGATTGAGCCTTACACCTTCCTCGTCTTGGCACTCCAACCATCCGTAGCCACGCAAATGTGGGAGCTGGTGCTTAAGCTGGTGCGTTTCTGTATAATTATGGTTTCCGATGCCAATTACACAAGCCAGAGCAGGGCAAAGCGTCTTATCCTTGGTGGTATTTGGGCAGCGATGGCGTCACTGCAGTGGATATAACACAAGAAGGTACTAATATACTCTGACTGTACGTACACCAACTGTGGATTGAATCTAATCGGGAATCCCTGCTCAAAGGGAGTGGTCGGCTGGAAGGAGAGATTGGCATTGCACCATATGGTATGTAGTTAGCGCCATAGCTTTTGCCAAGCATGAATTCATTGAATGCGCTTTGCAGGTGGTGACCCGTCGGACGAGCTAGTGTGCCAGAAGTTTTACGAGCACTGGAGCGAGCGTCAGCAAGAGTATCCAGGCTTTGCATCGAACCGGAGCACCTCGTACGTGCCTTACTTGATCGACGCGGTCACGTCTCTGTTCGAGGCTGCGAATCAAGCATCCTCACAAGGCATTGCAGCCGTAAACGCCAGCAGTGTGCTGGCGGCGCTGAGATCAGGGAGAGCGCACAAGGGATGCACCGGGAGCGTTGAATTCGATCCCGATACTGGCTCCAGGCTCGTCACGTCGTCTGCGACAGTCTACGAGCTCGTCTCCTACGCTGGCAGCACCTGGCAGGCATGGAGGAGCTCTACTAGAGTTTGCCTGATTGCTTCTCTTGTGGTTTTTTGCAGTTGAAAGGAAGGATTGTGAACGGGCGCTTGTCAAGCTTGCAGCCGGTGACAAGGCCGGGCACGTTTCCAGCCAACAGCAGCGCTGCCGAGGTATGTGTACCCCTCGATCGATATGGAGTGAAAACCTTGTACTCGCTCCCAGGTGTACTACGTTGGTGGTGAGGACAAGGGCCGCAAGAGCAGCAAAGTGAACGCGGCGCTGGTGGCGGCCATTCTAGTCTTGTGCACAGCCTTCATCGTCGTCTCGGTGACGCTCGTGTGCTACCACAAGCTACGCCACAATTCGCCACTCACATTCTTCCGGATGCAGCACTGACTACCTAGATCGTGTACCGAAAAATGCAAATGGATCTTGAGTTAAAAATAAAAGTGCTCTCGATTAGGGCAAGGAGCTCCAGATCGGAGTTGTAGGGGCCCGGGGGAGCGCAGTCCGCGTCTAGGGCTGCCAGTGGTGGGAGCGATGAGGATGCATTCCCTGCCGGCGTGGCTGCTGCTGGCGTGCCTGCTGCAGCTCGCCCTAGCTTCCGAATACGATCACAAGGTGAAGATTTCTTGCCCATTTCTCTTTCTCGCTTTGCCGGATCGGGGACTCACGCGTGCTGTGGCGGTGCGTGCTTGCTTGGGCAGTACGACATTGGCGACGCTGTTGTGCTGTGGGTGAACAAGGTCGGCCCCTACAACAATCCCCAGGAGACTTACAACTACTACAGCCTGCCCTTCTGCCAACCCGGAAATGCGAATCCCGCACACAAATGGGGGGGATTGGGAGCGGTGCTGGAAGGGAACGAGCTCATCGACAGCCAGATCGACATCAAGTTCAAGAGTAAGTCAATGCCTTCGCTCTGCCGGCGCAGGCACTCACAGCGCACATCGTGTTGCAGAGTCTGTTGACAAGGTTACGATATGCAAGCTGGATCTGGATCAGAGAAAAGCCATGGAATTCAGAGCGGCCATCGAGGAAACATACTGGTTCGAGTTCTTTATGGGTAAGCCATTCTTCCTTTCTTTGAAAACTCTCTAACCGGCGCCTTTTTCCAACCAGACGACTTGCCACTGTGGGGTACGTCTTTCTCCATTTCTCTCTTGCGTCCAGTAGATTCTTAGTCCCCGCAGGATTTGTCGGTGAGTACCACCACGGCAAGGCGGAGGAGCAGAATGTAGCCATTTACACTCACAAGCACCTCGTTATCAAGTACAACAAAAACCAGGTGCTTACTCTCTTTTCCTCTCTCTGTGATGGTGATTATGTTTACCGCTATGTAGATCATCCAAGTCAACCTTACGCAAGATGGTCTGCAGCCACTTTCGCCTGGCAAATCCCTGGAGTTTACATACTCCGTGAAATGGATCGAGACAAACACGAGTTTCCACAAGAGATTTGATGCCTACCTGGACTATCCATTCTTTGAGCATCAGGTTTGTTGTTGTCTGTCTTTGTACAAGTTTAAACTCCTGCTTGTGGTATCTTCGTGCAGATTCACTGGTTTTCGCTCTTCAACTCGTTCATGATGGTCATATTTCTGACTGGCCTGGTGTCTATGATACTCATGAGAACGCTGAAAAATGACTATGCCAAGTATGCCCGCGAGGAAGATGATCTCGAGACTCTGGTACGTTTATGTTGCGCATTGCAGTGTTTGAAAGAACTTTTCCAGGAAAGGGACGTGAGTGAAGAGTCTGGATGGAAGCTTGTCCACGGTGATGTCTTCAGACCGCCACGCTATCTTGTTTTGCTGTCTTCGCTTGTTGGTACTGGTGCTCAACTGGCTGCGCTAGTCTTTCTGGTGATCTTGCTGGCCATCGTCGGGATGCTTTATGTTGGGTAAGTATCTGTCACCCTGCGGCCGAGGTGCTCATCGCTCGCCTCGCCCTGTGTTGATGCAGGCGGGGAGCAATAGTGACAACCTTCATTGTATGCTACGCTCTTACGTCATTCATCTCCGGTTATGTCAGTGGCGGGTTTTACTCGCGAAACGATGGTAGGTAATGCTTCTACCTGTGGTGCTGACAATCCCTTACACGCTTTGGAGCAGGCAAGCACTGGATCAAGTCCATGCTACTAACGGCCTCGTTGTTTCCTTTCATCTGCTTTGGCATCGGTTTTGTTCTCAACTTTGTCGCAATTTTCTATCGCTCGTTGGCCGCCATTCCCTTCGGTACCATGGTACGTTGTAGAGATGATTTTTCTTTTCTCTCCTGAACTTTTATTATACAGGTCGTTGTTTTTGTCATCTGGGCATTCATTTCATTTCCCCTGGCTCTCCTTGGGACTGTTGTGGGGCGAAACTGGAACGGGACGCCTGATAACCCCTGCAGGGTGAAGACCATCCCTCGTCCGATACCGGAGAAGAAATGGTATCTCAAGCCATCCATCGTGGCGCTTATGGGAGGCTTACTCCCATTCGGGAGCATCTTCATAGAGATGTATTTCGTGTTCACGTCCTTTTGGAACTACAAGGTAACCCGGTCGAGCCCAGTTTTTTCAGTCTGCTGATCTGAGTCCGTGGTGCATGGCAGGTCTACTACGTCTATGGTTTCATGCTGCTCGTGTTTGTGATCCTCCTCATTGTCACGGTTTGTGTGACCATCGTGGGCACGTACTTCCTGCTAAATGCGGAGAACTACCACTGGCAATGGACGTCCTTCTTCTCAGCTGCATCCACGGCCGCGTACGTGTACCTCTACTCGGTTTACTACTACTTCATGAAGACCAAGATGTCCGGGTTTTTCCAAACGAGTTTCTACTTCGGCTACACTCTGATGCTCTGCGTTGGACTGGGGAGCCTCTGTGGTGAGTACCATACACTCCGATTGTTTTCTTGGTCGGATGGATTGATAACTTTGATGGTTTGATGCGCAGGTGCGGTGGGCTACTTGGGCTCGAGCGTGTTTGTTCGGAGGATCTATAGGAACATTAAGTGCGACTAAATCACCATTTCCCACATCCATTTGTTGCTGACAGTTGTTTGTGTCCTAGTACGTAACTATCATCCGGCAAAGACATGTCTAGTTTAGTCAACGGAGTCAACCAACTTCACCCAGCCATTTGGATTCTTATGTTTAGTTTAGTCAACGGAGTCGCATTTGCAGTGGCCAAAGCCCTAAACCAAAGAGAATCAGGGCTTTGTATTTGCTAGCTAGCGAGGATGCAGGCCTCTCTAGCTTGTGCCGCCAAGATCGGCGCTGGATCTCCGTGTAGCACCAGGTGGGGCGGCGTCGGGAGCACCAGATCCGCTGCTGCTACTGCGTTGAGGCTCCCTCCGCTCGCAGCCGCGCTTCCAGTGAGTGGTGGAACTAGGACTAGTAGCAGCAGTAGCAAGCTCTTCCTGGGATGGGAAGGAACGATCGAGCAGCAGCCATCACAGCAGGCACGGAGCAAGCGGATCGTGCGAGCCGAGGCGTACGAAGCTGATGCTGATCACGAGCCGGCTGCCAAGGCTCCTCCCCAGCTCAACCGGCTCAAGATCGGGATCTACTTCGTGACGTGGTGGGCGCTCAACGTCGTCTTCAACATCTACAACAAGAAGGTGCTCAATGCCTACCCCTACCCGTGGCTCACCTCCACGCTCTCCCTGGCCGCTGGCTCTGCGCTCATGCTCGCGTCCTGGGCCACCGGCCTCGTCGCCCCTCCCGACACGGACCTCGCCTTTTGGAAGGCGCTCCTACCGGTAAGTCCTCCACCTGCGAGCTCTTGACTTTCCGCTAAAACCACGAACAGGTGGCGCTGGCTCATACCATTGGGCACGTTGCCGCCACGGTGAGCATGTCCAAGGTTGCCGTCTCCTTCACTCATATCATCAAGAGCGCGGAGCCAGCCTTCAGTGTTGTGATCCAGCGTCTCTTCATGGGAGAGACCTTCCCCCTCTCGGTGTACCTCTCGCTTGTGCCCATCATAGGTGGCTGCGGCCTTGCCGCACTCACGGAGCTCAACTTCAACATGACGGGTAACTTACGTGCTCCAACACACTGTTGTTACTGACTCCTTCATGGCTTCCAGGCTTCATGGGGGCGATGATCTCCAACGTTGCGTTCGTGTTTAGAAACATCTTCTCCAAGAAGGGAATGAAGGCTGGCAAGGCAGTCGGAGGCCTAAACTACTACGCTTGCCTCAGCATTATGTCGCTGCTGCTCCTCACGCCCTTCTCCATCGCCATGGAGGGGCCTCAGCTGTGGGTGTCGGGGTGGCAGAACGCCGTGCACAACGTCGGGCCGCACTTCATCTGGTATGCTTTGCCTCCTCTCTGCGTGACCCTGACTCTCCGTTTGCAAATGACTCGCAGGTGGGTTGTGGCCCAGAGCGTCTTCTACCACCTCTACAATCAGGTGTCATACATGTCCCTGGATGAGATCTCGCCCCTCACCTTCAGCATTGGGAACACGATGAAGAGAGTCAGCGTCATTGTCTCGTCTATAATCATCTTCCGCACGCCTGTTCAACTCATCAATGGCGTCGGAGCCGCCATCGCCATTCTTGGGACGTTCCTCTACTCACAGGTAATGCCTACTACTACACATCACCATAACCATGACATCTCTTGTTTTTGTTCTTGTTGTGCCGCAGGCAAAGCAGTGAGCCACCATAGCTTCCTTTCATACAAATAAGTGGCACCAATTTTCCGTATATAATATATAAACACTGTTCGGTTCAATCATATATGTTATTCTCTCTTTAAGTGGATCCCTCAAAGCATATCGTGGAAGCGAGCGAAAGACTTCTTCTGGATGATAGCTCTGTAGGAATCACCAGGCTGCACTTCAAACCGGCTCCTTTGGCTGCCAAGACCAGCCCGTTCAGTTCCAACGTGTGCTTGCACGGGCTCTACGATCCCAGTCCCTTCCTTTCCAAGCCCCTGTCCCAAGGAGCGGCGCATTAGAAACAAAAGCACAAGAGACTACTCACAACACTTACCGATCCCTCTTGCCAACCCATGCTCCGGAGCATTCTGTTGCCAACGTTGCTCTCGTCCAGAGCCTTGTCCACCGTGACCGCCTCGTAACTCTCTACCGAGCCTCCCGAGCTTTGCACCGGCGCACCGCCCGCACTGGCCATTCCCTCCAGGGGATCTCCCGGCACGCTAAGCCCGTAGAGGCTTCTCCTCTCCGCCGCCCGGTCCCTGTACTGAGGCGTAGTTTCCGTAAACCTCCGCTTGGATCCCACCCTTGGCCCGCTAGTAGCTTCAGCTCTCAACACGGCCTCGCTCTCGTCCGCTCCGGATGTTTGCTCTCTCCGGACAGCCTCCTCGCCCTCCGTGGCTGCCTCGTTCATTCGCTGCTTCCAAATGTTGAACGTGCTGTTCAGTTTCTTCTTGCCCGAGTTCTTGGACGTAAGACGGACTTCCTTGAGCTTGTCCTTGGCTGCACTTGACGCCGCGGCATCTGACATCGCCACCTTGTCGGCGGCAGCATCACTACGCACAACTGCCGGGGCCGATATGACTGCACTGGCAGCGTACTGTTTCCTGCTGCTCGCTCTATCCTTGGTTTCACTTGCAGATACGTCTTCAACGGGTTTCGGAGGCTCTGCTTCCTCAGCTGACGCTGCAGTATATGCTTGATACTGCTGAAGCTCCTGGTTGAAGGTGTACCAGACGCCATGAGTTCCATCGTAGTAAAGGTTCCTGTTGGCGTCGTAGTAGAACTTGGTTGCGGCATCATAATAGTAGCCCGAGGCTTCATCCCACACAAAGCCGGAGCTCTTGTCACCCTCTTCCAACTCTGACCTGGCGTCGTACTCCTTGGGCTCCCAGCCGCTGGCATCGTACTACAACGACCAAGTTAGTGCCGGATGAAACGCAACACACAGAGCAAGGCACCTGCTGGGCACACGATGCAGCAGCAGTCAGAAGCGGCCCACCGTGCAGGCCATAGGGACTCTTTGCAAATGCAACCCGCAGAATCTGACCATTCTTATCGATCGCGGTGCCGTTGCTGGCCTCGAGCGCTTTCACCGCGTCCTCGACCTGCCGCTGATCCATCAGAAACAGGTCAAACAGGACTGTTTGGCAACTTACCGAGTGGAAGTGTATGAATGCATAACCCCGAGAGACGTGCGTAAACTTGTCACGAATCAGCCGCAAATCCTGCAACCCAGCGGTAAGCGATGAAAAACTTAACGACTAAAGTTCACCTTGATGGGAGCATGTTTAGAAAACTCGTAGTGCAAAATCTCCTCGTCAACATTGTCGTCAAGCCCACGGACGGCAAGAACATGTGAAGGAGCTGCTCCAGCTTAGCACAGCGTTAGAAAAGAGAGAGCGTGGGTGAGCACAACTCACCTGGCTCAGGTCCCCTATACCCTGAAGTTGAAAGATCAGTGGCTTCTTCACCGCGGGCTTCGTTGCACTGTAGCGAGCCGACAGTAAGCACTCATCTAACTCTAAGCCACGCATACGTACCTGCAGACAGACTACACGCCTAGCAAAGTTGAGGTAACCGCAGAGTGCGCAGATCCAGTCAGATGGAACGGCAACTAACGGCTTGCTAGCCTGACCGGAAAATCTGTAGTCTGGAAAAGCCCCTCCCGATGGTCTACTACTGATTCTCTTTGGTCAGTACAGACTGAAAAGAGACGACAGCCTTACCTGTATTCCAGAAAAAGCCGCCGTCCATTGACAGTTATCCCGTCAGTCCCAATAGATGCCATCAACTTTTCGGCAGCGTCCTGCAAAGTTGTTGTCCTTGATTAAGAAAAGAAACACCCGGGGAGACAAGGACCACTTACCACAGACGGTAAATCGACAAAAGCAAAGCCCCGCGACACTCCTGATACCTTTTCTTTTATAACACGAACATGCCTGAGCGGACCCCATCTTTCCTGCAGCATACCGGTTTAGCATCCAAAAACCAAGGTCCAGTTGCTGCGGCAAAATACCAGTGCCCTATACAGATCATCTTCCACTGTCTTCTGGGAGAGGCCTTTGACAACAATTGTTCCCGTCGGCACCTGCTGAAGACGAGTTAGAACGACCAACGTTGTCCGAGAACGAAAGAGTTACCACGGAAGGCTGTTGCTCCTCTTGCACGGGCCTGCTCTCCTCTTGCCACGACGTGTACGGGGAGCGCGATCCATCAGGCGTGTAGACATCTGTGGTCCTATCTCTACCACCGTGTCGACCTCCTCCTCCACCGCCTCCTCTATCCTTGTCCTTTCTCCTGCCTCTCTCCCTGTCGAGATCATCATAGTCGTGCGACCGCCGACGTTCGTCACCAAAGTCCCTGCTGCTCCTATGCCTGTAGTCGGAGTCGTCGAACTTATCATGCTCCCAGCAGCTATCCTGCCTCCTGTAGGAGCTGTAGTCCCCCCTAGAGTCGTCCAGGTGGTGGCGCCTGGAATGGCGGCGATGGCGCGACTCCCCCTCACTCCCTCTGCCAGGAAAAGCATGAGACATTGGAAGAGGAAGAGATGAGAAACATACCCAGGAGGCTCTGGATCGTTCGCCTCGTCATAGCCCTGATCGTGAGCCTGTGCATCCAAAAGAATAAAAGGGGAGTCAGCACTTGGTTGCGAAATTGGACGTTGTTGTCCCAGCCTGCTTCCTGTTTAATGAGGAATCGAGGACACATTCTTCCACTGTCCGTGGGAGTGGGACACTACTAACACACAAAGCCAGTGTGAGACTGTAGGGAGGCATACGCTGCTATTATCCCATCCCGATCGACGATGATGGTGATGGTGGTGCTGGTAGTGCTGCTGCTGCTCAAAACGCCCACTCGCTTCCATGCTAGCCTGCACCCGCGGAGCTCGCCGTGCTCTAGCTCTAGGTTATCGCATCAATACAAAGCACGCCTCTCACCTCCAGCGCCTCCTCTTCGCCTGCCCTGCCCTACCCAGCCCAGCCCAGCCAGCCCTAAAATCTCTTTTCAAGAAAGGTATCTTACTAATCCACCCTTATCGATCAAAGAGGAAGGAAGATTCAATCGCATCTAGGGCTACCTGCAAATGGGGAAGACGTTCCGGAAGCGTGTGGCGTCGGACGAGGAGGATGACGAGGAGGAGCGCCGGTAAGCATCGAATCGCTCGCCATGGGCGCTGGCTCACATTTC